TTTTCCCTGTTGTTGAACCACTCTACATCAAACTAGAGCAGCCAAAGATGAACAACCCTGGCATGATGACCCAAAAGCAAATATGTCCAAACTGAGGATGCCACAGGAGGAACGTTTTGGATACTGACTACCACCTGAGATGTTGAGGGCTGAATGGTAACAGTGTAAAATGTCAGGATGATGTTCTGCAGAATGTTTATCATCACAGTTTTGGCTTTCTTATGATCTGTGGAGGTTCTATCTGAAGGCTTTTTGTGGAGGAATGTAAACAGTTATGGAAAGCAATTAGAGCCTCATTATAGCGTGTTTATTGCAGTCATCTGTGATTTTTGGCCTTGAAGATAAAGCCATAACTGTTAATTTATTCTTTGTATTTCACAGCAGGAAATTGTGTACTTGCACATGATTAACAACAACTGACAACCACTGAAGGTGATGTTACACTTGCTTTACTGACAAAGCACATTCACAGCCCACTGTCTAAATGACATGTTTTGTGCATTTGTGTCACACAAAAGCCATTCTTCAGTACAAGATGAATGTGCCATGTTTTATGTCTTCACACGGCATATTAACCCAGCACCCTCACTGGACAGTGCTGTGATCAAAGCCTGCCAAATTCCTGGGTGATGATTCCCCCTTTTGGGTCTAATGTCAGGATCAGAGACTGGAGGAGGGGAGACAGTATACTCAGCCAAACAAGCCACATAACACTAATTTGCCATGCTAGATCTATTGCAAAGGCACACATGAATCCTTGTGTGAATGCACATCAACCAGCACAAGACACAGAGAGAGCTGTTCTGTCACTCTGTGTCTAATATGGATGGACAGTGAGTGAAGAAACGATTGGATGCGGTGAGACATCCATTCAGCTCATGGGGTGCTGAGAACACCAGGATAATGGTGAACTCTGTTTGTACTGGGTCCACCTTATGTGCTTGTGTCTGTGGACAAGAGAAATATGGCCTACTTGGGTTTCTGTAGCAACATATTAAGTGAAACAATGGATCCAGAGCAGTTCAAGAACTGTATCTTCAAAGTCTGCCTACAAGTTTAATTTATGACTTTAAACAGAGGGTGGATGCATTTTCATTCACACCAATAAATGTGACTACAAGATGATTTATAAAATACTTTGACAGGTTGGATAATAATTACAGTACTCACTATCTTGCTGCAAGTTAGATGAAAGAGATAAATGTCACTTTTGTGTCTATAAACTAAAATTAAGCTAGAAACAGGAGACAGCTTATCTTAGGTGGAAATTGCTAGAAAAGGATTCACACTGCAGTTAAATTATAAAGTTTGCAGAGCTATCTATGTGGCTATACTGCAGTAGGTTTGTGGAGCCAAAGGAACAACTGGACATTCTAATGTACTGTGGACTGGGGCTTCAATCATTAAAATCAAACTCATTTCTACAGTATTACAGATATGTCAAAAGGAGGAACATATTCAGTCCAAACTCAAAACCCTCAGAGGCCTTACAGGGACATGTCCTTGTTCCTGTCACTTTTGGAGGTCTTTATACTGACTTGTATTAACCTTAACCATGACCACTACTTCCCTAAGCCCTACCTTTACTCAAACCTTGATTTAACCCCAACCTTACACAAAGTCCTCACAGTATAACTAAATGATTTACTGTGTGGGGACCAGCATCCAGTCCCCATGAGGAATGCAAGTCCCCACAGTGTTAGGGGGCTTCCAGTTTTGGATCCCCACAAGTATTGAAAAACAAGGCCATACACACACAAACACAAATAGGCTACCGACTGTGTCATTCCAGATATATTTACAGAGACAAAGTCAGAGTAGAAACCCTGGGGCCTCTGAATTTGCCAGAGGATCCCCAGCCCCCTCCTTACACCCCCTAAGTCCCTCAGTCCCCCTCAGTTTTTGAGACTAAACTACAGTCAGGTCCTTCAAGACAATCTGCCTATCTTTGCTCTGTGTTGCTTGGTTTAGGACAATTTACAGTACTACCTAAAGTTACACTATTACCAGTCAACCATGAGAAAAGTCCCACAACAAAAACACACACAGATGCTTTTTATGATCCAACTTACACAAACTGAAACCAAATAAAACACTGAAAAGCATCTACAGTATATGAACACTGTCAACAAGCCGTACTCTGTTATGGACATTGATTTGATGTGATGCTTCATCATCAGCCAGTTGTAAACACCTCAGATGAAGCCCCATCAAACCTGACCCATGAAGCTCTAGTCAGGTCTGGGAACAGGGTCGGCACCGGCCCATCCACACACCCACACACACACACACACACACACCCACAGTCCGAACCTGTCAACATGACTGAGGCCCCCCGCCTGTGATTGATGACCAGGGCTCTGCATATTTCTGAATCTGACGCATGCTGGCTCTGTTGGCTGGGAATCATCTCTGCTCTGCTTAGTTTACATTATTCTTATTATTTCTCTTCCCAATCCAGCTTTGAGTGCCTGTATGTGTGCACAAACAGGGAGGGGTTTTTCCATGCCCTCAGTTGGCCAGGTATATGTAATAAAATCTTGAGTTCTGTTTTGAAAACGCTGGGAGTTCCAGTCATTTTCACCTTTGAGGTTTTTCTCTCAGCTCTCTTCTTTTCTCCCCATCCCTCTCACCCACTTGTGCTTCCATGAAACAGACCACTAGGGTTACTTTCTGCTTCATTTGCAGCACTTTCAATAAACTAAAATAAACACAGGTTTTAAAAGGTGGGGAACACCCAGAACCTTGAGCACTGTGTCCAGAAGCAGAAAACTGTTCTTAATTGTCAAAAAGCTGTGTGTCTGTCCATATGCCTGTTTAAAATCAAGCATTTCTAGCTCAAATGGAAGCAAACCAATAAAGTCGCAAGATGCTGGTGACAATCTGAAGACAAAAGTCTTTCAGTTTCTTACCAATGAGTCTGGTGCTCAAAGCCGAAACATTACACAAGTGGAGAAAAAGAAGCAGCTGTAGGCACAATCATGAAAACCACACACAGAGTAAAATGAGTACAACCTTGACCTCTAGAACAGAGAGGTACTTGTGATAAAGAGCTATTTAAAACAACTAAACACTGACTGAGATGCAAAAGAAATATTTTCAAGTAACCAATGTTCATCTTACATGAAGACCAACTAACCTAAAGTTTTACTTACAGGTCACTCAACAGTGATTCATTTGGCTTATTTATTTTACCCATATTGAAATTTGTGACGGTGAATAATATTCATCACCCTCTCTATTCGATTTCAGCACATGATGATGTGATTCATGTGTATTGACAAGCAGAAGATTGAGCCTTATCAGCTCTCAGTCAGACAGACATGAGCTAAACCAGGAAGAACTTTAAAATACCACAACTCTGGACTATATACAAGTAATTGTATTGCTGAACACACTGTAATATGTCTGACGGCAACTATGTGCAGCTGGACACTGATTTCAGCCAGAAATGATTCACGTTTGATACACAAGACAATGTGTTAACTTAAAAAGAAGGTTCACATACAGACTTGTCTTCAAATAGCAGATAAAGCAAATGTTGCTGATTATATTGCAAATTTAGTGTCCCATGTGGTTCACTGCAGCAATGAAAGCAACTCCCTCAAACATAAATGTAGCAAAAGGCCAAAGTAGATGCCAGATTTAGCCAGTGGATCCTATAAACCATGAAAGCATTTCATCCCCTGAAACTATCTATGGATCCTTAAATTCTATGCACTCTGACATGCCTACATGCACTTTTATATGGCCATTAAATTGTGACTGCAGTTCCACGTGTATAGCTACATAGAGGTAATTAACAGCCAAGTCTGCTCTTGAGCACCTGCAATAACAATCCATGCTGTAGCAGGTTAGCTAGCTGCTACTCTCCCTCTTCCTTTTTACTATAATCTGATCCAGGCTCTCCAGCCTCTAGGTAAAGCTCTCAGAGCCTCTGAAGAGGCCAGATTTTGGAAGTTGATTTGAAAAGGAGAAAAATGCTCCACATACCTGCATCAAGTCTTTGATATAGCTGAAATTAAAACGGTGATGGCCACATATACTGTATATACTTCAAATAAACAGTGAGTCTTCAAAAGCAGTCAGACAAGCAGCTGAAAATGTGTTTAACCAAACACAGCCTTAACAAATTTATTCAAGGAAGCCTGTAGCTTTTGCTTCAGTGATGTCATCTGGTCTCTGTACAACAAACAACTGAAGTAACTTAATCACAACTACAAACACTATCATCAAAGTGGGTCATATTAGACTGAATGCAGGCTACTACAGCAGCATTTGTATTGTAGCTATAAAACCACCAGTAGGTTGGTATTTCCAAAGTAATACAAGCCACCTAATAGAGCTCCAAAGAGGGCAAATTATCTCTGCCCAAACTGAAGAACTGGTCAAAATAAGCCAGTCAAAATGACACTAGGGAAAGCATGGAAAAATCATAACATACCAAAACACAATCTGTTTCAACAGAGATCAACAGCTGGCACAAGCTGAAACTACCTATCAGGGATATGACAGACATCTAAAGCAAATAGGAGTTGACAACTACTGCAAACTTACATGCAACTTACAGTAACACGACCCACTTTTTGTTTGCTAGAGTAATTTATTTAAGCCAACGTTGAAGTTCTTTTCATGAAGTGTTGACATGAATTTGTCACCTGTCACCTATTTTGGCTGGCTGCCTAATCCAGCAACCAATGCCAAAGACAGACTGGGATTGCAATATTATGTTGTATTGTGTTCGAGAGGCCATGTGTAGCTTGTTTCCAGATAAGGACGTGTGCAAGTGGGAGCCTAGAAAACACAACAGCGGGCAAATATGTAACATAACTTGGCAGTAAGAGCACAAACCGTTCCTGTTCTTGCAGTGATGAGGTTTAAGGTAGCATTGCTTTTAATACTCCACACCCAGCAGACTCCATTTTTTCCTGCGTGTTCCAGGATGTGACTGATGTAAATGAATTACCATTGATAACAAAGCACTCTGAAGGTGGACTCACCTGATACAATCTTTTTAAACCAAGCTTCTTCTGAACAGTCACTGCAGCATCCTCATCCTCCTCTGTCCCCTGGGCTCTGATGTCAGCACATTTCCATGCACACAGCCTCACAGGTATGACTCTAAATGCCCTCTCCCTTCTTCAAAATCTATTTTTTTAAAAAGGCACATATGAAACTAATTACACAGTCTGCCATCAGAAAGAGGGCTGGTGAACAGGAAAAACAAGAACAAGACAAATCAATCTCATCTGTTTCTGCATTTCCTCCCACAGTCAGAGTGGCACTCGCTGCCACTTGCTATTTAGCTGACAAGCACGTGGTTCAATTGCAGAATCAGATACAGGGAAGAAAAAGGTCTACAGTAGGACAGAATTCAGAACAAAGATTTTAAGATTAGTCTGCTGAAAGATCAAACTGTCAGAAGAGACCATGATATGTTTTTTATTGTGTGGTGAAATACAAAACCTCATGCATATATACTCTAAGGAATTACAAATGTTAAAATCTCAGAAAAGAAAGCAAGTGTCAAAGCATACTCCAGCAACCTTGAGCCAATATTATATCAGCAAAATAACACACTGAGTCACCGCTGGGCATGGTGCAGAACCAACACTGTGAAAAGTGTTGATCTTGGAGTTTCTCTTTCAGATGACAGGTGACTTACTGTATAACGTGATTCTGGGTGGTCTGGCTGACCTGACTTTTCTTAATAAACCACCAAGCTAGAGCATAATTTTGGGCTGACATCCTGCCTGCTACCTGCAGGTCAGACATGTCTGTATGTGAGAATGACAGAGACTGTGTGACAGTGTGCACTGTAACACCGAATGTGATCATCATTCTCAGTGCACACAAAACTGAAATCAATGATCTGCACATGTAGTAATGCTATATAAAATGTATTCTTTCATCCACTGCAAATCTTCTTTTTTAAAAATGCTCACATGCACATACACTGACACATGGACTCACACACAGCTGTCTTTTATTTGTCAGGATCCAGCCACAGATGGTGATACAGTGTGAACTTTAGCAAACGAATTCTTGACATTCTTTTCGGGTGTGAGTTACTCTCCACCTCAAACCAGTGCTAGCTTTATTTTCCTGCCAGGAGGCCACTGTCACAGGAATCAAAGCAAGCTTCTCCCACATATATTGTCCTCTGTGTATACACTAACTCTCTTTTTCAGAGCTCTGTGTGTTATGAACTCCTGTATTGGAGCTATGTCAGCATATTCTGTTATTTATGATGATGGGTCTTGTACTGGCAAGCTTACTGCTCAATTTAAAAGGAATGCTAATTAATTCAATGTCTACTGCTGAAATTAGGAGACACAAAAATTATAGTGTATCCACTGCATCATCAATGATTCATTGCCCTGCAATGTACCTAATGCATGCTAATATTTCAAACCGTCTACATGAGTTGATAACAGTAAAATAGATAAAATGTAGTTTCTGTGAAGAAAAATGTCAAAATATGTGACACAAATTAGTTGAAATTGTGGTATTAATTACAAGAAGAGTGGCTAGGTACATTTTTCATGAGCCCTACACTAATACGGGAAATCACTCAGGTGAAATTAAAGCTTCCGAGAGTTTCTAATATTTACTACACTCTATCAAATGTTCATCTCATTCATTTCCAGTGCTCCAGTCAGTACATGGAACCAACGTCTGGCCTGATACTTCAGTGGGAAAAAACAGGATTCTATTATAGTCACTGCGGTTTATTTTACATAGCCATCCACATGTTCAGCATTATGTCAATTAGTTTGCCACTTTGGGGGCAAATTGCTGCCAAGACAGCATTACAATCTCCACACACACACACACACACACACACACACACACACACACACACACACACACACACACACACACACACACACACACACACACACACACAGGGTCAGCCACACTAAACACCAACTCTGCATCAGGAGAATCAACACTCAGTGATCAATACAGCTTTTAGCTTTGGATTTCACTTTCTTCACAATGTTATCAGTCTGGAACATCAAGTAAACCCACCCAGAATCACATTTGAAAGTTTACATTTGTCAATATGTCTCACTTTCACAACCAATACAGTGTGTATTATGTCATTTGGTCAAAAATTGTTCTAAAGTTAGAAAAGATTCACTTAAACAGACGTGCATTAAAGTGCCTGAGAATTTGATTCGCCACCCAAACGCAGGGCATTAGAAAGCATCCTGTCACTGTACCCAGCTAGAGCCGGTGCTTGTCTTGTTCCAGAAGAAAAAAAGTGGGCATTAGAAGGAGCTCATATGTCTACCATCTAAAACTTAAAGGACAGAGACTGGATTTCAAGCTCAAGTCATTCCTCCTACTTTGACTTTCACCCAATCATGCAAAGTGCCCCTTATCCTCTTCTGTTCTTTGATCTTCAATCACCCCTCCTCCCCCAACTCATCCTGTACCTCTTTCTCCATCTTTTTTTCTGCCCTCTCTCTTCCTCTAATAACAGGATGTCAGCTTTCTCTCACATGGTTGCTGACCTTCCAGGCAATGAGCAGAACAGCTTGCAGCTTTAAGTTACTCCTGCTGCCTGCATTTGTCTCTCATCAGTGACTATAGATGAAACAGCAGAGTTAGCCTAGTCATGGAATAAATTGTCAAAGAGCCAGGGAAGCCTTGGAGTAAGAAGATGATTACTCATAAGTGGGGCAAGATCAGTAGCCTGTACTTCCTAGCTGATGGGAGCCACGGCGTAAAACCGCCAGTGATCATAATGATGGTTTATCTCAAAGATGAAATTCAAACTTAGCTTAACTGAAGAATCTTGGGGTGAGAGCTCTACTCTCTCCTCCCGAGGGGGGGTGAGGCTGTCAGGAACAAATGCAAGCACAGGCCTGCATGCATCCCAGGAAGTATCTGTGTTGACAGTGTTGTCGTTACAAAGAAAATAAGGCTGTGCGACGGTTTTTCGTTTGGTATGCATGATTGAGCATGGAAGACACAGTACAGAGTGTTAGTGTGTGGGAAGAACAACAGCCACTGGCAGAAACCACTGAGTGAATGACAGATGGAAAAGTCATACCTGTGAAAGAAAACCCTTGATATGAGGTGCTCCTCTATCAGTGTGTGAGAGGAGAAGAAACGAAAGGAAATTGTGAAAAAGTGTAATGCTCTGACAGCTGGAAAAGACATTGGGCAAAGTCTGTCTGGAACTGAATCTCTGACACTTTGTTTCTCGATACACTGCAGTTCTGTCTGACAGTCACTGTGCTCATATTACATGGCTGCTTAAAGCAGAAGTGTGAAGTAATAAAGTGTCCACTTTCCATCAGAAATGTCCTATAGCTGTTACTCCTCAGTATCTGACATATTTCAAACTTCCTGGTAAAAACATTCCCCCTATCTACATACTCGGTCATTCCTCACATACACAAATACTGAACTTGTTAATATGCGCCAAATATCTCTGTTCTCATTGGCTGGACTTGCTTCCTGTAATTAAAATGGAGGAAACTGGGGTGAGAGGTCACAGCTTGCTAAGTTTAGCCCTGTGGACAAATCCAGACTCATGACAGTATCTACCTAAATCATGAGTGTTTGTTTGTGAGTTTATGTGCATGTGTATAGACTGCAGATATGTTCAAATGGGCTGCAGTTTGAAAGAGGAGCTGGTATTCCCTGCCCACTATATCTTTATTTCAATTGTTGTGGGATATCTGATTGTCAGATGTCCTGATTAAGGGCAGAGTACCAAATGTACATAAAATCCAATAAGTCTGTAAATAATATACATTGAGAGCAATTTTATGCATAATTATTTCATGTCAATCTCATGTTATACAATTTGCAGCCACATCTCCATTAAGCAAACATATTTTTAAAATGTGAAACATCTCATCGCCCTTCACTTTTCCGTGTGGTGAATTCATGGATAGAAGGGCAATAACCTCTCCACAAGTCCACATAGAGACATTTTCCTTCAGCCACATAAGAGTGCTGTTTTGATAATTACCGTTAGCCAGCATCACACTACACACAGAGCTCAGTACTTTATCTCAGAGGCAGTCTTTAAAACTTCCAGGCCTGCCTTCATGTTGCCACTGTAACTGGGCCATACAACATGAAGGTTGGTTTTCCTCACACACACACAGTCAATGTAAGCCAACAGTCCCAGAGTCCAACATGCTGCTACACTTGAAGCTGGAGTTTGTGGTAGACCACAAAGTGCTGCCTTGCCATGCACCCTCACTTGACATGCCATCCACATCATGCAAGTCTAATGATGGACGTTCGTCCTGCCAGGGGCAGAGCCAATGCAAGCACTGGGTGGTGGGTGGCAATTTGATGGCTCTCTGTGTGTTTACTATTACCCAAAAAACGCCCAGTCAGCTATGTCTCAATGAGCTTCTCTGTCCTGTAAAGAGTTAGAGGGTTATTGGTGCATTCCCAGACAACGCCACAGACAGGCACAACGTGCAGTAGGTTGTGCACAGCTGTTTCTGGAATCTGAGGTGCTGATGTATACATTGCACCTCAGTGATGTCTCGTACATCAGCTCTGGTCTAGTGACACTCAGTGATGAACTGCAGAGCACAGACATTTTGTGTTATACATTCAACTGCTAAATTGTGCTACTGACCCTATGCCACTATATACATCTTTAGCTCCCAGACATGAACACAAATAGCCTGTGTAAAAATAGTACACCTCATTATTTGTTTCCTACACCTCCTACAGTACATTAATAAGCATTACCTGAATCCATCAATCCATTATCTACATGGCTTATTCCTGAACAGCCAATCCCAGCTGATGTTGGGTGAGAGGTGGGGTCCACCAGTCTATCACAGGACTGACATGTAGACAGACAACCACACACACACACTCACTCACTCACTCCTGGGGGCAATTTAGAGTCACCAATCAACCTAAGCTGCATGTCTTTGGACTGTGGGAGGAAACCAGAGTACCCAGAGAGAACCCACCCAGGAACAGGGAGAACATGCAAACTCCACACAGAAAGGACCCGGGCTCAAACCCTCTTGCTGGGCTGGCCTTTCCCTAATCAATTATCAAATCACATTGTAAATCTGAGGTTCAAAGTTTAATCTCAGTACAAGGTCCATTTAGTAACATACAAACATGACATGCTCGTCATCAGCAGGTGTCATGAAATTAACAATTTAACTTTTAAGGCAACATGAACAAGTACTCAAATACATGGACAATTTAACAGCTATAATCCCATGACACCTGGACAAGCTCCCTCTGCTCATGGAGAGGAGCTTTACCAAATAACCCCTTTATGAACCACTCTCCAGTCAAATCAAGCAGATATCATCATCATCATTATCATCACCATCATCATCATCATACTTGCCATGTTTTTTAACCTAGACAGACTTTCACTGCTTAAACTATTTTCATCGCCAGCTGAATTATCAGACCACTGGCACTTAAATCGTTTAACTGTTATCTTAACAGAACTTAAAAGCCTTATATCTCCCCTTGATCAAACATTAAGATGCACTGACTGGTGATCATGGCACCCATTAGCCTGTTAAGCGTCATCATCACCATCATTATCGCCAAACTCCACCAATAACAGCGCTCATCGACCCGCAGTTGCTGCCAGGCTCGAACTCAACACAGACAACAAACAAAATCATCTCAGTTTAATCCTAGTGAAAAGCAGCACGGAAAACAAATTCACTCATCTGGTTTCAGCGAGGAATCCTGATTATCACAGACGCAAGACCACTGTTGGAGCTCAAACTGCACCGCGACACAACTGTGACAAAGTACACTTACCGTCTCCTTTTCGCTTTAAAACCAAGTCGAAACGATCTTGATTGGCCTTGATTTCAGTCCAGCTTTAGTCTCTTCTCTTTGCATGTGTCGCTCTGTCTTATGGCAGAGTTTTCCAAGTGTACCACGGCTTGTTTGAGGCTGGTTAAATCTCGTGTTGTCCTGCGCACAGCTCCCACCTCCGACGTCTTGGAGAAGTGCACATCAATACGCACAGCTCATGTGTAAATGTAGGTTACACTTTCTGACAATATCACTCACTTTCTGTCTGTCATTAAAGTGTCTGTGTGTCTGGCGTTGCAGAGGCTACTTTCCCCTCATAGGCATGTACAGTAAAGTGTGTGAGGCAGCTAATGCTGGTGCCTGTCTGCCTGCGCGTAAAACTACTCTGAATAATCACAGCAACAGATTTAGAAAACACTCAGGAGCCGTAATGCACCAGTTCTTTGACGCAATGCTTTCTGTGCATTGACAAAGGCGTAAAAACTAAATGTAGATAAAGGTATTGGAAGTAGAAAGGGTTGCTTTTGAAGGTTTCACTCCAGTAGCAGCCACAAATAACAGGATAGGAGAGTTAAGAGGGCTACAATACATGCCCTGCCATACTGAAGAGCTTTGTTATTCAATGCTCAACCCTTTTATTTGAATTGAAAGTCAGAAGAGAATGTTTTTGCACAGTTTCTAATGAGAAAGTCTTTTTATACACAAAATTGTGCACAACTCAGGAGTATATATACATAAAAGTATATATTACAGTTGTTTCAAGTTAATCCAACACTTTTTAACAAACACCAGAAAAACACTGAGGGCACATATAATATGACAAGGTCCTGATGGGTAGAACATAGCATAAACACTGGGGAGGGTTCCGTTTCTCAATATGAAAAATGTTTAATTAAAACAATAAACAACACATTAGCATAACATAAATCAACGCAATTACAATTCATTGCATTTCAATGTCAGAAATGAGTTGAACTAGAAAGTAGTACATTTCATCTGAGTATTCCCTGCAAGCATGATCACTATAACGTACTGATAAACAATAGAACATCACTACTTGATCTGTCTTGGGATTAAGTTCATCCTCATAATTCTTATGCCTTAACTGTAAATCTGAACCTACACAGTGACTGGGTTAATCACTGTTACTGCTATACACATTACTCATTTGTGCTGTCATTTACCAGGAATGATTCAATAACATCCATCCATCCATTATCTATACCTAATAGGGTCACAGAAGGGCTGGAGCCAATGCCAGCTGACATTGGGTGAGAGCCGGGGTCCACCCTGGACAGGTCATCAGTCTATCACAGGGCTAACATGTAGACAGACAACCACACACGCTCACACACACCTACGGGCAATTTAGAGTCACCAATCAACCTAAGCTGCATGTCTTTGGACTGTGGGAGGAAGCTGGAGCATCCAGAGAGAACCCACGCAGGAACAGGGAGAACATGCAAACTCCACAAAAAAAGGCCCCGGGTCGGCCCGGGCTTTGATTCAATAACATATTACTTTAAAATAATAATACTAAGAATACACTTCCCCATTTTTATTCTTAAGGCCATGTGCTCATATACTGCTCATGTACTGCAGGTCTTGTTGCCTGAACACGTTGTCCGAGTGATCCCTGCCTTACATATTTGTCCCCTTTAAGTTAAATAATCTTAATTTCTAATCCTTGCATTGGCTTTGCTAATGTGTTGCATCACTTTCCACATCAATATTTTCTTTCCCATCTCAGTAGGTCATTGCAGTAAACCATCATCAAGAGTTCAACATACAGTACTACTAGCACAAATAAAAGGCCCAGCAATAATATTAATACACTTGCATATGGATTGAGTATTGAAATGTACTCCTGCATTTTTGTCAGAAAAAAAAAAACTAAAATGAAATAACCAACAAGAATGGCAAATTAAAACATTACTAGCACAAAAATAAAGTTTACAGTGGAACCTCTGACCCAATGTTATTTATTTATTTTTTTTAAGATTTATTTTCAGGCTTTTGATGTTTTTATTAATTAGTGAATCGCAGAGAGGCAGATAGACAAAAGGGGAGATAGAGAGACCTGTGACAGAGCTGTCAGAGGAGTCAAAACACCGACATCGTGAAACCCAGTGTGGTATATGGTGCGCTGCGCCGTAACCACTCAGCTATGGGGCGCCCCGACCCAACGTTAATTAACAGAACACACAAACAAATAAATCTGCTCAGTTTTAATTTTGAGAATATTTAACATCTGACTGAAATACAAATTGCTGTAAACTAGCACAGCTGTCCTATGCTGTTCGTACCCATGAGGGAAAGTCAGATGTTGACTGTGTGGGCATGTTTCTTACACAACGGCATGTCCTTTTTGGAAAAGAACGGCTGACCTTCCAGACTAGTAGAGCAGACCTGTGGAGACAGACACACATATACAGAGCAGTGTTGTTATTTGCACAGTATTCTCAACATGTTTTACTTTTAGAACTAATGCTTGTTGTTGCTGGAAGCGAGGTGGTCTCCTGGACCTACCGCACACACAAAGCAGGTGTCATGCCAAGTGAATCCTAGAGCCTCCAAGAATTTGTCTCCTGCCTCGATGGGGAAGTCACAGCCGTGGCAGTTAGCCCCAAACAGGTTGTTGTAGTCTGAGTAAACAAGACACTGACAAAATGTTAGTCTGTTTGCACACAAGGGTTTCTTCACAAAATCTTAACTACGTTGTGGACTTCCTACTGTACCCTTTTCACAGTATGGCTGTCCATCCTCCATGTGAAACATGTTGCCTCTGATTGGCCGATGGCAGGCAGTACAGACAAAACAGGACACATGCCAGGTCTGTTTCAGGGCATTCATGACCTCCTGCATAAAATAAAATTAGGAACAGCTTGTTGAAATTAATATCACATACAATCAAAGCCTTTTTTTTAATAATCTGAAATAAACAGTTTTTGTAAATGAAACAGACTTAAATGTTTAGACTGAGGATTATGTTGTTTCCTTATAATTTGACACCTTTAAAGGATAAGGCTGGTCATTTTCTATATTAAAAGTATTTTCAAAAATCACTATACAGGGACTAAAACCAGCAGTGAACTGCCTCTACTCACGGTTAATGTCTGCCAGTCCTGGATTAGCCTATTTGTCTGTGCCATAGAACGCCATCATTGTTCAAAAACAATTAAACACATCAGCGAAACACAACGCAGCACTGGTTGACATGTTTCCTTATTATAAAACTACAAACCCTGATATTTGTTAAGAATATCCTGAGATCTTGTGCATAGGTCTTTGACTCTTGCTTACTCCAGATGCTGTTAAAGGCTTTGCCCATTTGGAGCAACATTTAAAAAAAACACATCACCCAGGCCAGCAGTGTTTTTCCCTGATGTGTTTTTAATTGCTCTTGAACACCAATGGAAATCTATGGCACAAACACATAAGCTAATCCAGGATTGACACACTAATGCAGTGGTCCCCAACCACCGGGCCATGGCCCGGTACAGGTCCGTGGTACAAAAAAGGTTGGGGACCGCTGCACTAATGGACCGCGATTAGAGGCAATTCATTGTCAGTTTTACTCTCTGTATGGGGAGTGTTTAAAACACAGTTAATACAGAAAATGACCAGCCTTATCCTTTAGACAAGAAATAATGTCCATGCATCTCTCTTTGTGTCTTAAATCAAATTTCCCATTGATCACTTTGTATCAGTGAAGTCCCAAATGAACAATGCTAATCTGTTCTGTGACTGAAAGAGCAACTATAAACAATCAAATGAGTGTATGAATACATTTCAGCTTTAAAATAGAAAAGTGAGGTACATTGGGTAAAGTTGCCTACAGCCTCTCTATAGGATATACAATATGAAACCATTTTGTTTACACAGTCTTCTTCTTGCTTTCAGAAGGCTTCTGCGTTATTTCTTTAAGTGATGGAAATCGGTCAGTGATGTTTGTAGTATTAGTAAAGTAAGAGGTTTCAGTACAGGTAGATTATGGCAGAGAATATCCCTTCAGGTTTGTAACTCACCCCCAGAATCTTCTGGTGGCAGTGGGCACAGGTGGGAGCAAAGAACTGCTCATAGCAACGTTCGCAGTACACCTGGCCTTTCTCCTCCACAAATCCACCGTCTACCAAGGAGGAGTGGCAGTGACCACAGTTGAATTCTTCAGGGTGCCAAGACATGCCCATGGCCACAAGGAATGGGCCCCTGATTATAACAAGCAAGGGAGAGAGGACACAGCATAACATTTCAAGCATCCACTGACTAAAGTTTTTTGGTTTTAGAAAAAATTCTGCACAAACTAAATGTTACACATTGTTGACTAACCAAAGAAACATTTTTATTAATCCGAATTTCTTGTAAATGCAGATTTTTGATGCCTAGTTACCTGATAACATTGTTGCACTTGCCACATACTGGTGTGCGCATACCAGCTGGGATGTGCTCAGCTCTCTGCACCAGAGATTGGAGGTCCTGTGGATGGGGCTGTGGGGTGGGGCGGTCTGGATTTTTGGCAGCAGGACCGGTGATTCTGCCAAACGAAGGAGCTACTGCACCCTTAGAAAAACCTAAACCAGCAGGAAATACAATGGCTCATTATTCAAATGAAAAACCAGCCAGTCCAGTATGAGCCTACTGGAGAAAATGTCTCTTCCTAAACTTAAAATAATTAGGCAAATCCCTAATTCACTGGTTGTAATAAGAATTGTACTTTTCATCAAACCAATTCACGACTTTCTCCACTAACCAACCAAATGAGAAGCACACGGTTTAGATTTGTGTTGTCAGATAATGAATGGGTATAACTGGATGATCTCTAACCTCAGCTGGGGCGGACAGAGTCACCCCACCCTCTACACACAAGATATCATTTTTCCCACTGAGGAAAACAACACTTTCCCAGAGTCAGAGGAGACACCTGGAAAAATAATCTACCCCCCCACTCCCCCAACCTCAAAACATGTGAAGAGGACGCACAGTTTTCCCTTCTCTTACTCAATGAAAGGATGCATCCAGGATGAAGGTCAGTTCTGGCTGCCCTCAGAGGGGGCTCGTGGGAGTGGTGGTTAGAGACAGAGACACTATTGAGAAAGTGCACCTTTATCAAAGACTTCGAAGGACAAGTGGCTCCTAAATTTCCTTGTAACAGTGAGCAAACAAACTGAATAAAGAGAACTAGCAGAGAAGTGACAACACTGTGAGGGTGGGGAGTAGATTTCATAAGAAGAAAGATGTTGAGCTGAAGACAGTCATATAAAAATGAGATTCTCTTATCTAATTTACAGGTTGACAATTATATTTAAATAATATTTCTGTTATGGTGGATTTGAAGAACTGCTCTTGACATAGTGAAATCATCAAACATGAATATCTATAAATCCACATTGAGCTGATGTCCTTGATAACTTGCACTTTCATGCTAAAACAATGACAGTGCCAAAGAAAGTAATAGAAAGCTCCTGTATTGTGCACCCAATAAAGTCAGTTCAGAGGAGAGAGGAGTAAAATTCAACAGAAGAAATTCATATTCCTCAGATATTAAACATCTTTTCATTGCATCATAATTTAGCATCAACTAAATTACATAAAACTATGTTGAACCAAATGCAGTATTTTATCTGTGGCACCATATGACCTTGTCTGTGTGAACGCCGGTACTGTGGGGAGGCTCCTAATAAGCTGTCAGCAGGGATGAAATTTTAAATGAATCCTTTGGCAAGATTGAAGGCTGAGCCACAATAAATCAGACAGAAAATGAAAGACACATTTGTAAGTCTGCCATTGCTGTCATGCTGTATAAAAAGGATAAGGAGAAGAAAGTCAGCATAAGAAGACATTCGGACTGAGTCACAGCAGGACTGGAAATCTCAGTTTTATCTGTTCTCTCTTTCTAAATTCAGAGAGAGATAAAAGCAACACAAGGGAGTCACAGCAGGAGACAAACTGTGGATTTGTTTGGTGCCTGTGGTGATGTGGTTATAGTGAAGCTTCTTAAAAATGATTTGTATCAGTAATGTGCACTGCCTAAACATTTGACTATTTTCTAACTTTAGAAAGTGCTGGCTGATGTTAAATTACAAAAAAAAAAGCATTTTAAGTTCATGTAGCACACTCCACATTCCCAGCCCCACTCCACTTTCCACTATTATGAAATAGGTGCTTGTTTACTTCTGTTAATCTGATAAATAACACAGCCAACAGAGGACTAACTGTGGCCTCTCCTGCTCTCTCCTAGTGGCACCTTTCAGAAATTATTCCTTAAAAAAAGGCCTCTAGGGAAATACATTAGAGCACACAGTGCATTTGTTCATGTACAGTGAGTGCACACTTCTGTCTCAGTGTTCCTAATAATGACCCCTGACTGACGCCTTTCAGTACATATTTACCCTGACTAGCTCAAAATCTCATGGCAGGGTCTGCTGTATTTAAAGAGCAGCCTTTATGTAAAATAAAATACATAATTCTCAATTTCACACTCTATTAACTAAGGGGATCTTGGGAAAAACCAATAGTCTGGGCTCATTAACAGAATACCTCTGCTTTTTATAGAGCTCATAATCTTAATTATCTTAGTGTCTGGCATTAAAACCTGCAATAAATGTTTGGGCTCAGTAGGCAGTGATTTAGAGGAACAGCGATGCCCTCTGTCAGCTAAAAGAGGAAACTACAGATCATTTTACATGGCAGAAGCAAAACAACAACCATTTTAGTAACAAAGACAAGTGAATACCAGAAGTAGAAAAGAACAGACGGAGAGGGTATACGATGTTACCTGATGGACCTCCAGGCTGGTTTGAGGACTTGCTCTGGGCTGTAGGACTCTTGAATGTGGAAGCAGGAACAACATTGCCATTTCTGGGCACTGCTGCAGACTTGGAACATGTTTTTGCTGCAGGTGAGGTGTGCACAGTGGGAGGGGTTTTGTCAACTGTCTCACTAGAAAACAGATACGTATTTCATATATATCAGAAGTTAATACAACAGGCACACAAACATATACAGTATTTGTACACTTCATTTGTTTATCATGTCTTTAGTGACAATACTTTAAACGCAGAGCTTTCTGATCGACCAATAATACATCTCCAGACAGTTTAACCTGATGCCTCTTACTCATTTGCTTTTTTTTGTGAAAACTCCCATGGTAACAGCTTTACCTCCTAAATGCTGTGAACATTTAATAAAACAGGAAAACAGAAGCTAACAATTTGGTACACATGGCCTATTTCTCTAATTATACTATATTTGACAATCATTTATCATATTCTATCCGGAATTAAGAACTCTTAGTGTCACAGGAACTGAGCTGTCATCTGTGGATGCATGTGTAGTGATAACAGAGCTCAGAAAGACATGGTCATTCAACAACCATCATGCTGGAACTGTTGCTGCTTGGAAAGACTAGCTCAGCAAAAGATTTGCACCAACAGGTTTAATTTGTAGCCCTGAAGCTGTTTGACTTTTTCAGCTCCAGCCCATTGCATGTTACTAACAACAGACTGTCAAACACAGACCCCATTAGCAGTTATGCTTATCATGTTTTGATCCTGAATTATGTTTCCTCCCTCTGTCATGTGTTTCTGTTTGGATGACACACAGGAAGAACCATGACTAGAAAACGTGATGCAGTTCTTACGAGGTGATTTTTAGAATTTGACACTGTAATTTTTTCAGTATCACCTACTGGCCTTATACTGTATGTTACAAACAAGTAAACTGACCAGCGCCTGTGGACACATTGTTTTGGTGTCTGTGACCCGTCTACAAGTAAGATGAGAAATCTAAGCTGTTTTAATGAAGTACAAATGAATCTGTATTTAGAGTAGTATGTTTGTTGCTTTAAATGTGCATGGCTTTGAAGAAAATAAGAAAAGGAAAAAATATATGACTGAGAAGGTTTATTGAGGTAAAATCATCAAAAACTGACAAATGAAAGTGTTTAGTTAGTACAGAAATCAGAGGGAAAAGATTGAGACATGCACAGAAAAATAAAGTATAAGATTACAGAAAGTGTGCAGGGGAAGTGGAGGCTTGGACATAAATAACAAGGTGCTAAAAAGGATTACATGTGTAATGTTGCATTTTTAAGCACACATATTTATGCATGCATGCATTTAATTTACATTGCTTGTCATTCACTTTATATTACTTTTGTTTAAAATTTAAAATTGGCAATGTAAGTTTAATAATGGTCAAAATCATAAAGCAAAACAAACCAAGCCCTTGTTTACTGCACATTTAGCGCTCGTGCTGAAACGTCATGATGCCAATCTCTCAGCTTGTTGTACTTGTGTCCTATAACTTCTGGGTCCAACTTCGTTCCTCTGATTTTCCCCATAAGACAGGAATGGAAGGAAAAGAAGGGAACAAAGGAAACGTTGGAAGATTAAGAAAAGAGAATAAAGTAAAAGCTAGTACAAGAGGAAGCATAGAAACAAATGACAGAAAATGGCACAGCTAGAACTATATAGAGAAGACATGAACTAAAATCTTACTGGCAGAAGGGAGAGCTGGAATCTCCTTCTGGCAGGGGAGGTATTGCCCAAAATACCACTTAACTCACCCACAGTTTCCAGTGAGTGACACAATGACTGGTTGAGGATCTGGTACAAAGTGCAGACTGTGTTTACTGTGGATTATTTTGATTTGACTAACAGCAGCTGAAGCGATCACAGCCTATTCTGGCTGTCTCCACTCAGCTATCATCCTCTGAGAGCTCTTAATGCGATCTTTCCAAATTAAGCCTTAAATTAAGTGTGGTACTCTGGGACCATAAGATCAGGAAATCGGGGCTAAACTCTGAATCACAGGCTCCTAGACACTGAGGGCCAATTCTGAATCTGAAACTATAATCTAATCAAGATTGTAAAAGTAGCAACATTGCTAAAACAGATGCATTACATACAATGTATAAAAAAAAAAGTGCTCAGAGATGAGTGACAGAGCCAATAAACAAACACATACCACATTTTATTACATTAAAAACCACCAACCACTTACTTTTTTCCAATATTCTCTGGAACTTGCTCTGCAACAGTGAAGAACAAACACAAGTGAAGATAAATGGTCAGTGAGAATATGGACTGCTACTGGTCGCAGCTCTGTCTTTCTTCCAATTTGTCCTACGTTCATCTGGACATAGTATGAACTGAACATGTAAACCCTGCCAGGATTCTCTGGACTATTCCACAGCTGTTCACGGCTGCAGACGGAATGTACATCAGTGTTGAAAGTATATCAAATACTCCATATATTCCAGATCTGGTAACATCATTTGACAAAATGGGGGAAGGAGACAGAGACATCTCTCAGCTCACTTCACTGTAGTAACTGGATTACTGTAAAGCCACAGGCCTCTCATGTAGCCATCAATGTTACTTATAGTCAAAACAGTCATATAACAGATGAACCATACAGCAATGAGAGCTTTCTATTGTTTTAAAGGAACATTGAAATCAATATAATCTATAGCAGCACTCAAGTTTTGATAAAAAAATGTATAAAACAGGGAACTAATACAAGTCAGCTGAAGCCTAAAACTGATCATCTTTAGATAAATCTGTTAAGTGCCTCAGCTCCAGTCTACAGTGATTTAAAGGTTCTAAAATGAACTGACAGAAATATCAGTTTATCTCACAGGACTCAAATAAGTCCAATATAATATTCAGCTAGTTTCAACACTAAGAACACAAGCAATAAGTCTCTGCAGAGCGTTAAGTCTGTTTATATCGACAACCTGACTACAGCACTAAGAACACAAGCAATAAGTCTCTGAAGAGCGTTAAGTCTGTTTATATCGACAGCCTGACTACATTAAGGTCACGTGAGCACACCAAGGTTGGTACACACCATTTTCAGTGCCAGTGAGCTGAGCCAGGATACGGAAGGAACGGGACTGGGTGGTGCCAGTTCGCGGGTGCCAGTCCTCTGTGTCCTCAATCAGGCGCCTCTTGCTGGCATCGCTCAGTGGGGATGCATGATTCTCAGGCTCCGCACTAGGTTTCCTGTACAGCCAGATCAACAAAGAAATGATGACGACGACATGTTATGCACCTGTGTTTTAAACATACAGTATAATGGGTATCACTGAGATCACTGCTACAAACAACTGTAGATATTACTTAATCAGGTCCTATACCACAGAATAACAATGTTAACATTGTTTATGCACATGCAAACCTAGAACAAGCATTTGCAATAGCAACCAACACATAGAATATTCACTGAATGCTCGACATTCAATCGAGGGTGCAGCTTGCAGATACATGTTTTAAAGTGTGACCTAACAGATTTCACAATTACCTCCTAGGTCTAGGTGGAGGTGGAGTGCTGCAGGTGAACAATGAGAAAGTAGTGATGGATGGAAAAGTGCACAAAGGTAGAAAAAAAAAAATCACAAATTTAAAGTCACATTATAAACTACACATACTGTATGACAATGAACTGGTTAAAATGGAAGGTGATAAACACTATTCTGACTATTAGAGAGGAAAACCACACAGCCCACTGTGTAATAGAACTGTACACAATGCCAATGCTGTTCAGTAACAGTAAACAAGTGAGAAGCAGTTAATGAAATGGTGAAATTAAAGATTGGACATTGGTGTTTGAGATGAACATGACAGTGACCACATCTCACCACAAGATGGGGGTAATGTGCTGCACAAACAGGAAGATCACCTTTACTTCCCAATGTTATGGCACTCTAGTGTTTGCATGCACAGTTATGCTCATGTGACGTTCCAAGCTATTAATCAGTTTTAAATCACAGTATGTGCAATTTGTTTCCTGTGTGTGTTTTGATGTGTGTGCTTGTGTGTGTCAGGTGAGCAGAGATGAATAATGATCAAAGATGGTAGACTTCAGGTTATTCTTAGCCAAAGAGGAATATATTTGGCTGTGGAATATAAATGACTGAGTAAATAGGCTAACAACAGTAGCAGATGGAAGCAGACAAAGTGTGCTGACAGACCTGACTGCTCCGGGTGTAAATCCAGCATTAGCTAAGACCAAGCTTAATGCCACTGAGAAAAGGAATAGACAGTACAAGCTTATGTCCACTTGGTGTCCTCAGTCTTCTTACAGATGAAATATTTTCAAGGTTTTGCAATTTGTGTGGACCTTGTGTGAAATGAGTGGATGAGCACGACTGTGAGGTCTGTGAGGTGAAAGCATGCCTTTGCTAATCATAAATCACAGATGTGAACACTGTAACCACATTCAACGTGGTTGGAAAGCCACTGCAGCAAATATACAGTATTATCATTCACAGCACTAACTTGATGACTGTCTCTCCTTCCTCCTGTTGGCAAAGAAAAGTTGAATTGGGGAAAAAAAAAAACTGAAGCCAAGAAGAAGCACAAACAGATCAGTTGGAGAAAAGCAGCACAGTCCCAAACACGCAACATCTAATTGAATGGCCCTTCTGAGAGAATGTTCAGATTGGAAACCACACAAACAAAGACGCATGCAGATCAGGACACAAATGCAACAAACACTCCACCTCTACAGGCTGACATTTCAGGGTTTCAAGCAAAATAAAGATGACGCAGTAATGTTGTGTTTGCCAATGACACTAAAATAATCACCAAAGTGTAATAAGTAGAGTTTTGTTCTCTGTTCCTGACTTTTTAACATCTCTCACAGGTTATCTGGCCAAAATTTAAAATATGGCCAAACAGACTGCTGTTAACTTTGTAAATCTCACAGAGGTATTCCTAAGTTTCCTAGTGTGAAGCCACTTTGCTCACTTAAAGCAGACCTCTATGACTTATTTTTTATTTCAGGTGACAGAGAGAAAGAGCGGTGAAGACTTGCACCTAACTCAGTCTGCTATAACCCCACCAGCGAGTGAAAAGCCAGCTAATGAAACCCGGTTCAGCCAAACCTACAAACACAGAGCTGCTAGGATTCTGGCTAATTAGAAACAAGTGCTACACCAGCAGTGCCAAGAAGGCAGACTGTGTTTGTCAGAGTTGCAAACCAAACTGACAGTTATAAATAGGCAGCAGCATCAGTTAGCATGTTGTCTAGACTCTTTTCCCTTTCCAGATGACCTGTAGAAAATTTATACAAGATGTGCAACATGCCTTGGGTTTCTCTTGCATGCAGCTGTGTGAAAACATGGGTGATGGGCTGTTTTAATGTTTAATGTTTTCAAATGAGATACATATTTTAGGGCAGAACTAGGCGTAATAAATACACACACACACACACATTTACTTCAGCTCTTCAGATAAAAAAGGGAAAACATGTTGACAGAGTAAAAGAAAGGTCTGGTGGATGGTACCTACCTATTCAAGTGCTCTGACAGCCCCTGGCTCTCCAAAACACCTCGCCTTTGTCCCTTAGCCACCTCAAAAGCATTAACATTGGAGTAGAGGTTGATAGGTGTGTTATAGGCAGAGGATTGTGGGACATTAGGATGGGAGGACGGGGATGTCACTTTGGCTGGAGAGGAGGACTTAGATGAAGAGGAAGAGGGAGACGGGGAGGTGAAGGTGGAGCAGACAGGGCTAGGCTTGGGAACTGAGTTAGCTGGAGCTGGAGCTGCGAGGCTTGACTTCAGTGGAAACGGAGGCTGCGGTGGTTGAGATGGAGCAGCTGGCATGAAAGCGGAGGATTCAGAAGGAATGGAGGCCACTTTTGGGGCAGCCGGGGAGAGAGAAGATGTAAATGCACTGCTGTCCCCCCCAAAAGGCCGAGCTGTCTTGTATGCAGGACTGGGCTGACTTGATAGCTTGGTGTATGTGGTGCTTGGGGCGGGGTGAGTGATCGGAACAGGCTTAATGATTTCTCGAGGGTCATCCTGGATAAAGGTGGAGATACACAGCGTGCACAAACAGCAAATCCACAACAAACTCATGCATGTAAACCAGCATTCCCAAAAGCCTCAAAGTCATGCCTGTGTCAGACAAGTTTATGATGCTATAAAAAGCATGCCAATCCAATTTGTGCTCTGACATAATCTCAGAAGGGTGATGAGAAGGCACAGTTTTAAGTAAAATGGTATTATATTCATAAACAAATGGAAATCAGATGAATTTTTGTTAATATACAAATTTTAGGTGACCATTTCATACCTTGGGTGCTTCATCTTTAGGTGGGGCGGTGGAGGGTCTGTTAAGACAAAAAGAGAACTGTAAAATCACTGCTCATACAGCACCCATGCTAACTGCTGTGGATATCAAGATCCAGTAGTGGAGACAGAGCAAGAGAGGGTTGGATTATTTTACACTCGCTGCTGCGTTGCCTAATTCAGGGCACCACTTTTGAGCAAGCAAGGTTCAGGCTCTGAAAATAGACTAACTGTGCAAGGAGATAAGTGGAAACAAATGGCGGTCTGGAAAGTAAGACCGGTTCAAAACTGTATGCCTTGGAAAATGGTCAACAATAATTATATGTAATTTGTAGGTAAGGTGCTGAAACATTCAAAACCACCACTATCTGGTGACCACGGGGTGAGTTAGGGTGTATGTCTAAGTGTAGGCTGGCGTTGAAGTGTGGAAACATCAGATTAACTATTATGATTTAAACAGGTGCCGTGGTGGTGGTCTGCTTGTCTGTTATGCAGAGGTGCAGAAACCAGCACAAAGATTTTCTGTTATTTATAATAATTATCCACCTAAATGTCAAAATAAAACATAAAAGTACACACCTATGGGGGGGGGGCTATTGTGTATTAACGCATATCAAGGCACAGTACACCTCCTTTCATGTCGGGCCAGTTAAATGTCCTAATAAATTTCTGTTAGTAAACAACAGTCTCTTAGTGAAGCATTGCAAGGCTGGTTCACTGGCATCCTTCCTTTGTGCCATATTAAGAAAACAATGTCATGCATTTCCTTTCTGTCTGAGGCGCCGTGTTATTGGAGAGCCACACACTCCAGACAGATGTTGATTTCATCTGTGCCCATTCTTGCATTTAAAATTTCCATTTAGCAGTTAATATATGGTATGTGCATTTTCCAGTGTACTTGTATTATTGGACATGCATATGGAGCCACACCGCGGTGTGCCAAGGAAAACAGCGAAAGGTCCAAAGATCAAACAGCACATTCCATTACAAACATAACCAGCTGACAATGACACAGTGTGTATCTGCAATCAGTGACCCTGTGTGGGGCAGTTGGGTGGATTCACTCTCTGTCTGCTTTTTCCCAGAGCAATTTGAACAACACTTTATAGGGTGGTTCTTACAAACATCTGCTCTGCCACTGATAAACTGCAGATTAAATAACTGGCAAGATCGTAGAATTATAACATACTGATGCAGACGTTTTATAATTACAGGTAAGTTTTAAGTGCTGTCACTCCCAGACAGGCGGGGAATGGGACAGCACTGCCAACTGCAATGAAAGAGAAACGCTGGGTGAGTACATGGCCTCACGTGCATGTATTTGCTTTTTGACTTGCTGATGTCCAAGTGTACACACATGTTGGTTAATCTAGAGATGGTGCTAACCAGCCTACAGTGCTCATGTCGGTTTTCCTCTTGGTGGTGTGTGAAATATCTATGTAGTTCTGCTTTTCATGAATGGAGTAAGTATTTAATATCATACATAAACAGGTCACAGTATTATTTGTTTCATGCATGAATTATTTCACACAACGTGACAAGTAATTTCTCTAATGTTATTTCAAATAAACCTACCTGTAATTAAAAAACATCTACAAGTACGTCATCATTCTGTGATCTTGCCAGTCTTTTAATCTGCAGTTTATCAGGAGGATCAGGTGCTTTTCATGTATGTCATGTATGTCAAACACAGTTTGTGCTACTGTTTGTATTCAGAAAACAGTCATAGCTTTGCACAGCCTCAAATATGCTGAAGCTGGTTCCTGCTAATCTAATTATGATACTGGATTATTATCTTACACATGTACAGATATGATAAACAGGGTTTGTTTATAGACCAAATTTATAGACTTATATACTTAAATAAAAAGCTAATTAATACCTAAATAACAAGTAGCAGTACAAAATATAAATAAACACATTAGTATTTACAGCTAAAGACTTGTACATCTGTTGAATTGCTAAGTGCGGTTTTTATCAACATCAGACTACTCTGTGCACCCAGTCTCTCTCTCTCACACACACACACACACACACACACACACAGCTCCAGAAAAAGAGTGAGAAGTTTATCCAGAGGAATAAGTCTGAGGGCAAAGTAGCCTGATGCATTCCCATCCTGCCTGTGTCTCTTTAAGGGCCAAAAGAAACAGTCTGGCATATGGCATTTGACTGAATGATGGATGGGTTACAGTTGTAAACTCAGCTTTCCCACCACACACACACACACACACTTTACCAGCTCACAGGGCCACATATCCATTTTTTAACATGGAGGAAAAACTGTACAAATAAGAGTGGCAGTTAATTTTTCCTGCTAATGTTTCACTTAGTTTCATGAGCAGTTTTTGAAGATGAAAACTGCAGATCCCTCTGACTGCAAACATCTGTCTGATTTTCTCCTCTAGCCACAGTTTTTGGTCACGCTCATCATATTAAAAGGTTATTGGGCCCCATTTTATATGATATGTGTGACAGTTGAGTAGAAGTCATACATGCTATTAATGCAAAGATCAGTGAACATTATTCTAAAACCTTGATACTGTATATTATTCCAAAAACCTGTCCTCCTGTATTTAACTGTGTTTCTGTTTTAATGTGCAGCCAATCTATCCGCTCAGTGGCAAAACTCACAGCTTGTATCTGGCTCATCTCTCTGTGTTACCTCTCTTCACACGACTCATTAATGTTTAACCAAGAATAAGCATCATGGAAGAGGGAATTTTGACATTTCATTGGAAAAAATACAAGGTTCTAAAAGAGGGACAGAAATGTGACTGCTATTTCCAGAGCTAACACTTGTTAACCTATAACTGGACAGCCACCGTTGCTTGGATACTTCACTACTACCATGGTTACTTCCCATGTCTGCATGTCTGATCAAGTAGAAACCCCATGGTGCTTCAGTTTCAGAGTTCACATGCGTCATAGTGATGGAGAGCAGTCATCCTTTTCATCCCCATGTACCTCATCATGCCACTTTCTCTTCATTGTGTGAGTGATAACTTCTCATCCCAGCAAGCAAACTGTTGAATAAATAGTTAACCACAGGACCAGACATTCAAAACGATACCAAGATTTGCATTTACTTGCATGCAGTAAACCTGCATCAAGCTTAATTAATAAAGCAAACTGAGAAATGTGGGAGTTCAAATCTCTGCCTACTGAAACCAAAACAGAATAAACTGCAATTCCAGTTAATTCATTTTTGAATTAAAGAGGTTATTTAATAAAAAGGAGAAAGGTGTAACTATGGTGGGGTAAGGAGATATCTTCAGAGTCCAAGTGTCTTTTGATGTATGCATTTTCCACAGATGAGCTAATGTGTTAATGGAAAGCCAGGCAGCAATGCATGACATCTGACAGATGGATACAAACTCAACAGCCTCCAAAAGCTTCACACACAAAATGAAAAAAACTACTTTGAAACACTCTGCTGTGGGAGCTGACATGACTTCTTGTCTAAACATCAGGAGAGGGTTGGATCGCTGTGTTGATCTCTATTATCTTTTGAGGTTTTGGACCCAGGTGCAGCTAGCCACAACCTCTGGGGAGTGTGGGGGGTTTCATTGCACTGTGGTGCTTATTTCAAGGACAATAAATAAACACCAATTATCATACTTTCCTAAGGCTACTTCCCATAGCTGCCTGGTGACTGATAGCCACTCAGCAACAAAATGCAAGTATATATCAACGGACGAAAGATTGGAAAACAAGATTAGATAAAGGTTCGTTCCCTTCACGAAAACTATGTTACTAGCTAAATTTAGCGAGAACAGTCTCTTATATAAATATGCACAGTGGTGAAAATTAAGCTGCAAAGCTTCAACAAATAAAGGCAATAAGCAGAAAGGCTAGACGGTATATAATGGCTTAATGGACATTTTTATGTAGGTAACATTTGTAGTTATACAATAAATGTGTGCATGACAGTGTGTGTAATTTCATAACCATTTCCATTTTATTTCCACCAGTTAATGTACAACTGTACTGTCAGTGTTTACCTGAGTGTTTACACTGGATCTTAATGTGTGATTCCGGTTTGAATAAACTACAGATGAACTTCATTATCTAATCTTTGTTAGTAAAATCAGTGCATACAGTAGATTCATGGATTTGATTTGATTTGATACACTGTACACATGTGATATCTTCACACACAATAAATGATCTGCTGAAAGAATCCAACCTATGATAAAGTGACATAACGGCACTAAACCATAATCACATTAATCATCTCTTGGTACTCTTGGAATGTTATTATGACCTCGGCAGTCTTATCGGTGATCATCAAAACCATAAATCAAATCTGAGAACATGGATGCTGAAAGTGGTGCAAGACAAAGAAAACTCTACAAGTTACTTCAACATGATTTGTTTCACTTATAATATATACTTAATTCTCAGATCCTAAGTAAAAGAAAAGTAAGAAAAATGACCCATGTATGATATAAACTTAAGTGTCTAAAACGTGTGTTTGTGCCAAGGATAAAGTATATCAACACCATCCTGCATTCAGCTTATTAGAATGAAGCCAGAAGTGAAGCAAACTACAATCATGCATAATTTCTACCAAGAAAACCTTTGTTGTTTAGTGGGCGATGTTAGTTTACATGCAATGTGTTGCATTGTGCATTACATTACACACAGTTGATTACATGCAGCTGTAAGACAGAACTGTTTGAGGACTATTTTCACACAATTAAAGCACAGCAGCCCTTTCCTCCTTTAATGACCATCGGCCTGTAGCACTGACTTCAATTATTATGAAGGGCCTCGAACGGCTGGTCATGGAGAACACCATGTCCATCTTTCCTCCCTCACACGACCCATTTCAGTTTGTATACAGGTCCACAGAGGATGCCATTTCTGCTGCTCTCCATCCAGCCCTCACCCACCTAGACTCAAAGAACTCTTACGTGTGAATGCTGTTCCTAGACTTCAGTTCAGCATTGAACACAATAATTCCCCAGCAGCTTACACAAAAACATGGACACTTGGGACTTAAAACCTCTCTCTGCAACTGGGTGCTGGATTTTCTAACAGGGAGGCCACAAAATGTGCAGGTCAGCAGCAACATCTCCAAGACCATCACGCTGAGCACAGGGGCTCCGCAGGGGTGTGTGCTGAGCCCATTGCTCTTCACACTGCTAACCCACGACTGTGTGCCAACCCACAGCACCAACCACATTGTCAAGTTTGTGGATGATACGACTGTAGTCGGCCTCATTACCAACAACAATGAGGCCAACTACAGGAGTGAGGTGTGCCAACTGGTCCAGTGGTATAAGGACAATAACCTCTTCCTCAATGTGGGGAAGACTAAAGAGATCATTGTGGATTTCAGGAGAAAACCTCTAAAGCATCCACCACTGACCATCAACGGTGCTGTAGTGGAGAGAGTGAGCAGTACCAAGTTCCTGGGGGTGCACTTCTCTGAGGACCTCTCCTGGACCAACAACGCCACATCACTGGCCAAGAAGGTTCAATCACACCTCTACTTCCTCTGCAAAGTGAGGACAGCCAGTGTCCCACCCCCCATCATGTGCTCTTTCTACCAGGGCACCATTGAGAGCGTCACCACTGGCTGCATCACTGTGTGGTATGTAGGCCATACTGCCTCCTGCAGAAGGACCCTGCAACGCATAGTGAATACAGCCAGCAAGATCATCAGCGCCCCTCTGCCTTCCCTCACGGACATCTTTAACACCTGCCTCATCCGCAGAGCCATCAGCATTGCTGATAACACCTCCCACCCCAGACTCCTGCCTTCAGGGAGAAGGTATCGGAGTCTTCAGGCCCACTCCACCAGACTTACAAACAGCTTCATCCTCCAGGCTGTGAGGATGCTGAATGCTGTCCATTACCTCCTCCCTCTGCCCCTGGACTGTGACCCACCACAGAACATAAGCATAAAGACTACCCCTGCTGTTTCACACAAACTCAATACATTCTCCCTTTTTGTCACATTATATGTAAATCTGCTGACTGTTTTTTACCATCATATCTGCTGCTGTTGGTCATTTGCACTTTGGTCCATGTGCATCTCATAAGTTATTATACATCTCATCACCAACGCCCCTGGTGATGCTGACCACCTGTCAACCTTCTTGTTATTAATTGCACTACTGTCACTGATTGTACATAGTTTGGAGTCATAGCCTATTAGGATGTACCATTTAGTTTTATTCTAATTACTTTAATTTAGTTTTCTTATTCTATTTTTATTCTATTTTAGTTTCTTAAATGGTATGGCATTCAATACAAGGCGGGAGAGAAACGGTATTTTGATTTTTCTGTATGTCCTGCACATATAGTGAATTGACAATAAAAATCTTTGATCTTGATCTAAAGTGGTGAAGGAATGACACGACACACAAACCATGCTTTGAGTTTTTCTGTCATAGCTTTTAATGTGTGCGTGCGTCACCGCCATCTGTTTGAGTCAGACACTAAAACTACTTTGTAATACTTATTTACTACTTTATAACTCTTTTTAGTAATCGTCTTCAAAATAAAATAAAACAAACCATTCAGTGTAGGAACTGAGCTGGGTGCACTGATCCTGGATATTCAGTACTGCCTGTGAAAATAAGTGTTAACTTTGAGCTGTTTCACTAAATTACAAAATCAAGTGTTCCTACACTGTAAGTGAACCATTGGCCTTCTAATAGATACATTAGAAAAGTTGTCGGGGTCATTTGCCAACTGCCTGAAACCTTTCTCTGGGGGACAAATATAATGAGAAAAACAGCTGGATCCCTGTTTTCTTTTCTTTGAAGCATATATTAAGGAAAGGAGAGCTTTAAGAGCTTTCATTTAAAGTGCTCCTAATGCTACACTAGGGCTTCAATATATTCAAGGGCCCCAGAATACCTGGGTCTACTTTTTGCTAATGGAAGAAGCAGATGAGCAGTTAATGATCAGATTCAAACCAACACTGAAACCTGAACTGATGACTTTTACAGATTTGGTGCCATGCACTCCACAGCTAGGAAGAACCTGTGTAAACTATTAATTAAAAACTTCTGTGGAATAAAACTGATTTCAGATGGTTCTTCGTTTCTTCCATAGGAGATGTGTAGCATTAGCACACAATGCTGTCACTTTATAATGTGGTGCTTAAGTTGATGCTTGTGAACTGTCCTTATTGATTATAATGTACAAGGGCAGGGTGTCCAAACTTAAACCCACAGTTTAAATCGGATTAAAGCCTCACATCTATTGATCTGCATGGTGTTAATAAAGTCTAAATGCAACACCAATTCTAACAATACTTTGTCTTAAAATGAACCTGACAAAGGAGTCACTATAAAACCAGCATGACATCATCCGTCCTAGATTAAGATTAATAGCTTAGTCTTGTCATTATAACATTCCCAGACTCAATGCAGGACCTCAGAGCCATAGCATCTGTTGTGGCAGAAACACTGAGCTGTTTGAAATTAACACAACAAGCGTTCATGTGTTTCAAATAATGAAAAGGCAAACTGAACACAAATAAGCCAAACTTTACAATCAAGCTTCCTACTGCTGCTTAAAATGTGCTTTGCTTATGAGATCACTATCTTGTGAAAACTTACTTCAAATGCACACTGGTTGGTTCTGTACAAATTCCTCAACTAGGCTTAAATATACAGGCAAAATCAACCAAGTATGCATTGTAAGGTCTTCACAGGTTATGTTGTAGAAGATGCGTTACCTCTGCAGGGTGAGGCTGAGGTTGCCTGTGCAGGCCTTAATCTTGTTCTGGGCCTCGAGGTGATTCATGCTCTCTGTGGAAATGCCGTTAATGGAGAGAATGATGTCTCCAACACTCATCTTGGCATTGGCTGCCTTGCTTCCTTCAGTCAGCTGCAGTGACACACACAAATAAACAAGAAAAACACACTCATCACACACATATTTGCACCAAACAAAGAAAAGAATTTCACAAAACATTCTGTGTGTGCATATTGTGTTGCTTGTTTCTTGTTATCCAATTCCCTGTCTTATGTAACTGTCAGAAAAGATTTCCACCTTCTTTTTCCAACATAAAATCAACATTGCAACATCAATGTGACAGGACTACACCAAAACAATGTTTCCATAAACAAGTCACAACATTCCTACTGTTGACTCATCAAATGACCACTAACCGAAAATCAAAACCACATGGTTAGAAAATTTGAATTTAATTTCAGCAAACTAAGTGTTTGCTCATATTCCAGTTACAAATATAATATGCACCAGGATAAGGGTGAATTAACAACTTTAATTTACACACATATTTGGATATTCAGTACTTTGAAATAGCACCACTGTGCTCATCCTCTCAAGCTCTGCCTGGGAAAACATCACATTGAGCATCTGTAAATTAAAATCTTCTTCTCCCTCCAGATTTTAATTGGGGGTCACATCCACTGCTTCTACTGGGTCTCCTGAAGACACTGTAAGACTTGTCCTGAAGCTGCTCTGAAGTTTTCTTTGCTTTGTGCTTCATTTGTTCTTGTGGTGCACAAAGGTGCTGGTGCACAGATTATGTGCTCAGTTTTCCTTGAGGAACTTCATGTGTTGGGACGCACCTCTCACACATTTAAAATGTATTAGCTTTGACTCCAGGTATTGTAGCAACAGCTTAAAGCTCTACAGCTGTCTGTCTATCAGAGAGCAGCATAAAGGTAGGGCTGACGTCTGTCACGTCTTCAATCTCTTTCCACCCTGTTGATACTTGTATTTAACACAGAGGAAGCTGCGTAATAAACCCACCATGCCCTGATGACTCTCTATCGGGTGTAGTGATTGGCAATGATGACATAAGGTTACGCAGGTCTTATCTTTCACTCAGTGCACACTTACGCACTAAAACCTGCACAGCCATGGTTGGCTGTGATCATGCACGAACAAAAAAAAGAAAGAAGAAGAACTCTGTGAAATAATTATTATGTTGGCTTTGTTACAATGTTTACGTCATCTCTCAGCAGTGTAATGGAACAGAACTCAAAATGCCTGATGCCTCAGACACTGAAGCAAAGGTGGACATGGCAAGCACATGCATGTTCATCAAGTGGCAGCTCAAGCGACGTCGAACAACGTGTTGGAAGAGAGAAGGACATAATGAACAAGACGTGAAGCTCAAAAGGAGGAAAATGATTTTGTCTTGTCTGAACATAAAAGTGGAACCTCAACTTCAGATAATAGTCATGTACCTGATCCAGCTCTGCTATCTAAAAATCCTTAATAAATTTCTATGAAACAATAAGGCAAGACTGGAAAGCTGTCTACCCTGCTTCTCACCCAATGTCAGCGGCATAGACAATGGATGGATAATACGCCAAGGCAAGGCACGGAAAGTTTATTTATATAGCACATTTTCATATGCAACGGCAATTCAAAGTGCTTAACACAATGCACACAGATGGATAAATTAAGATGCATGTCTAGAAAAATAAAATTTAAATCCATGCAAAAATCTTCAATGGCACATACTTGGAAGCAGTTATTTATGTGAAACAGCCCTGATTTAGACAGATAAACACAATAAAAGGCCTTCCCTCTCTAACCCCCAAAGAATGCATTCAGGTTAGGTAAGTCTAAAAGACTTTCCCCTGGTTTAAAAAGGAACCAATGAGACATAAAGAATGGGCCATTGTGTTAACCCTCTTAATAACAAAAAGAGGGGAAAGAGCAGGAAGGAGGGGGAGAAAGAATGAGGAGAGTGACCAACACATTTCTCTGAAGTTGTGCTTTCCTTGTGTCATTACCAAGTAGATCAATAGCAGGAAGTGTTGAATATATAGCTGAGACTGATGTATGCATGCCGATGTCTGGGAAACCGACCGTGCAGCAACATGCTAAGTGCTACTCACAAAGGGCAGAGCACTCAGTACACAGACATGTACAAAGCTTTAACTGACTCACTTGCTCACCCACAGACACACCTGTCTGCATTTGCTGAGCCTCTCCTGACTCATTTACACTGAATAAAATATAAGTCATTGCTTTTCATTGCAAAGGCCAAGAATGAGTATGGAAGCATTCTTCAGAGATCACTGACATCTGCTGGCTCTGTCTGCTCTGCTGAAGGACTGTAGAATGAACACGTCTCTTCGTCTCTCAGCATTTCCCTCTCTGCATGCCTGTGTGTGTTTGTGTGTCAGGGGGGAAGAGAGAGGGTGAAAAGCATCAAATTCTCTCCTTGTAAGGATCCGAGAAAAGACAATACTAGAGAGCTCTATATATGGTAATTCTTCAAGCATGCACTATTTCAAGACATAGTAGAAACACTTTCAGAAAAATAGGAGTTTTAATAAGTGGTTCACAATGTTTAATGCTTTAGTCTGTAGCAAAAAGGGAGCACTTTCTAAATCCTAGAATCCTCCCCCCCCAAATTCTAACACTCTTAGTCAGATGGAGACAAAACAAATAGGTGCTACAATAAGAATTCCTGGCATCTGCAGGGGATCAAGAGAGGTCTCAAGCACTCATGACAGAAAGGAGATAAATAAATAACTGGAGCTTTGGCTGTGGTACTCTCTCAAGAGAGCAGGACGATTCAGCAGTGTGTTAGCAACCACTTCTTATTATGTAACTTTACGCAGAAGATACTCAATTTGATTTCTTGCTAGGTCAAAAAGGTCATCCAAAGATGTTTAACAAAAACCAGTTCAATTTAAAGAGTAAAAATACTATTAGAAGGTTTTGTTAGTGTGGTACGAGAAAGAGGTTTTCCAACTGTATTATCATGAATGGGGTCCCAGCTACATAATAGTGTGGCTGCTGTGTTCCTCTTCACACTGCACGGTTTAGAGAGATATTGCAGCAGGCTGTAAAATCACAAAAACTGCAGCAGAAGCATTGCCTCCTTGCATTTTCAATCCGTCTGTATGTAAATCTAGTTATAAAATAAAGGCTCATTTTAAAGACTTCAGATGTGGATGTTTGCTCATTAATCAACTTATCCCTAATAAACTATGTAATAAGTTAATGTTGAAAAATAAAGAATGCTATAAGATTCATCCCTGGTGAGAACAGAGAAAGCAGCTTTGTTAAAAAGCTGACAGCCAGACTTATGACATACAGTGCCTCTCTAAAGAAGCTGCTTCCAAAACTCCTGGTGTTCTTCACAAAACGCAGCACTGATCTGTCTGATCGATGCTGTAGTTTTAAAGCAGTGATTCACAGTTACGGTGTCACGTCAAACATTTTACATTTCAGTCTTTAAATGGAGACAATACTTCTATGTATAGTACATCCTTTAGAAAAGGACATTTAAGGTAAGATAGCATATTTAAGATAACACGTAAGCATTATTGGAATAAGAATAATCTTTCCTGCTGGTATGTGTGTAACTTCCTCTCTTCTGTGAAATTAAGGAGTAAGGAAGAGGCTTGTGGTCATTTCACATTTGAGAAGTGGTGTTACAGGAAGTGTCTTGTGGTGAGGGCTGAAGGCTTGTGAGATGCATGTCATGTCTGTGCAGGACAGACTAAGATAGAGGACCTTTTATGGAAAAGGCTTGGTCTTAACATAATGTCACAAATATGTAATTAGCAGCTGCCTTTGACTGACCTGCTTACAAACGTTTCAATTATTAGTAACAGCGTGAGTTCCATGAGACTAGACTTGTTTATGATCCAACAAATTCAATATGTCTACAAACCAGCCTGAAAGACTTTGAAATGTCTCATAATATTACAGCTCATCACAGGGTATAATGTTCAGGACACAGGACTGCTTTCCTTCAGCCCTACTGCTCATCAGAATCAGCTGCTTACTCTACAAAAGCTCTGTCGGGACAATATTAGACAACACAGTGCAAAGCAGCCTGCTGGACTAGCAGAGGCCAGTACAGAAGTAGAGATCATTGTCAAGTTTTTACAGTTTATTGTCAAGACACTAGAAGTCTTTTCTTAAAGGCTGGTGCACATGCAACACCTGTTTGACCAGTAATGTGGAATAGAGCATGCATCAGTGAAGGAATGGAATACAGCAGCTGGGCGGGTATTCTTTTACTACAAGCCAAATATCTCAATTAAGTGCACCAGCCTCTTAATACATCAGTCGCGCTGCTGGAAAATGTAAGATGCCAGGCAGACCGACAGGAGCTCTCAGTGAAATCGCCATGACAACACAAACAAAACACAAAGCAGTAAGAGCCATGCACTGAATAGTGAATGCCCTTTAGTCAGGTCAGAGACAAACCAGGCTGACTAGCACTGGCGAGGCAGATGACATGAACGCGGCTGTAGACATGGAGGGCCTCGAGCCAAGAGCCAGTGCTGGTTTCTAACTCCAACCTCATTCTACTGTCCTCCACAGTTTAAATGCATGATAAGTAGAAACTTCTGGATGTATAGCATATTCATGACAGGACAGACAAACAGACTTCACCGCAGGTTAAATGCCCTATTAGCAGAATTCCAATAGCTAAGACATGGAAGCAAGGGTTAATTCAAAGGTTCAGTACTTTTACTTACTGTACAAAGGCACTTGTATTATATTAAGAGGAGAGGCTGGTAAGCAAAGATAGGTTCATGGTCAGATCACAGAGCACGGTAAAGGGTGTTTCAAACCAAATTCAATTCACAATACTCACACAATGAACAACTGCTGTAGATATTTCTAAATTACAAATATAAAAAGATGCCATTATAAGCATATACTTGTGAAATGTAGCAGACAGTTAAAATTATTATTTTCATTGGATCGTCCTCTCTTAAAACTAATGCACGAAGGATGCCATTTAGCCCTAATGTTGATGTGGGCTGCACAGACACACTACATCACCACATTCTGCTTACTTCAGAGTGAAAGTATTTTCACCATATTAAAATTGAATAGTGAAGCTCGAAAAGAAAAACAAATCAGGAGGTGCTGAGTCTACTGCAAACACAAAGCTAAAATTAGCTTGTACAACGTTCACTCCAAGTATCGTATGCCGCTAAAACAACAAACAAAAGGATACAAAAGACAAGAGGGGGAAGTGAGGGGTCAGTGGTTAAAAAAGGGGGGGCAAGGGAAAATCTGATGACTCCCAACTGACCTAAAGTAATCAGACACTGATATACACAAGTAATGCTACAATACTACTCTATTATTTTCAACAGGAGTCTTTCTCATGTGCAAGTCAAGAAATGCCTAAAAAGATGTTGAAATAACCACAGAGGACGAGGACAGTAAAAGATCAGAGGAGCAAACACAAGCTCCCACAAACGTGATGTACTGGGTGGTCGCACTTTGAACAATCAGCTGCATAATCTTAAACATCCACGAAAAATTTCCATGCTGAATAAACAAACACATAATACAACGGACTCATTGAGCATACTTGTTTTTACGGAATATTTTTCTCTAACTTAACACTAACATCTACGACAATACAGCCTGTTACTCACTGAGACCGTTTCACACTATTAGAGTAGTGTTTATCTAGGCTCTGCTGTTATGATGACTTTTGCATGTTTTGGGAAAATTTAGTGAGTATTGCTATTCATACTGTGACACCCAAGTGAATATCACACAAGACATATGGTTTATGGAATGTAGCCTGTCTCACACTTTGATTTAGTGTTATTACAACAGCCAAAGACAAAAATTCCTCAAAAGTCATGAGGATAACAGACAGTACTCGTCTTGTGAGCAACCTTAGAGCCTGTGCGTAACTGGATCAGCTGCATATGGTAAGCATGTGTAAAGTCTTTACATCCAGTGCATGACAGTCACATCCAGCACATCCATCTAAGCAAAGTAAACATAAGCTTTAATGCAAAAGCAACAGGTGCATATTATTTGCTGCACACTCAGTCTTTTTTAACTTTGGGTCTGTTGTCTACTCAATTTTCTACTCACTGATCTAATGAAGGAAGTGAAGGAATTTGTTAAAGTGTTGTCAGATGTTTCCATTTTTAAACTAATGCTTCCCTTTGTAAATACAGTGAACTGTAAATTAGATTCCAGATACAGAATAGCCAGATGTGACATCTATCGGATTTAGGAAAACACACGAAACTAAACAGATACTGTATATAAACATTCGAGTTTAATTACAGCAGCACACTTTATGTTGGCCATGCCTTCTGGGAGGTTAGGATACTAAAATCAATAGACAAAAGGAAGACTTAGTCCTAGACAGGGGATGATAATGCACTCACCGGCCACTTTATTAGGTACACCTGTACAACTGTGTGTACTTCAATGCAACACTTCCACTTTAACACCCGTTTGTTTTTTTGAAGCTCAAAATGTATCTAGCTGGGGACGACAAATCAAATTCAAGTCTATATGGTAAAAATACTACATGAAAATAAGGTCAGTACCATTTTAGATTTGAAGGACCTTACAAATTTCAAGTGAAGCTGCATTTACAATAGTTGCTATTATCACAGTGGCCAGGTATGAAAACAGATGGAGCAGCTTTGTCATCATGTTTTATACTCTTTATATGTCTTAACACAGATGGTCATGTATCCGCTTCACGTCTCGTCTCCACACATAACTTTCAAAATTCAGTAACTGATTCTGCCAACAGCAAATAAACAGAGTGACCGACCTTGGTCATGACATTCAGATTACAATTACATGACAGGAAGCAGCAGGAAGTGAATAACAGTGCATGTTCTGTAGTAGACACTGTCAAAGAATGGAGCACACTGGTAGAAGACAATATGCCTACTTCTAATCGTGTCTGACAAGAGGCATGCGAGTATAATTCAGACACCCTTGGGATGAAATAGGCTGCTGTTGGACAGACCAACAGTAACCTGCACTATGCTTCATTTAATTTTTACAGCAATCAGTGTTGTGCACAGAATGTCCTGGCCTAAAGAACATAAACAACATATCTGGCTGAGGTTGGAACTGCATCATAAACAGTTCCGTTTCCAAACCATGGTCCCTAGGGCAGCCTTTCTTCCAGATTAGGGCTCAACAGAACCTGGTCAGCGCACTCTGTGCACCAGAAAGTTACAAAAGAACTATTGTAGCATCTAGAGTTTCAGTTACATGGGCCATTTAAGGATAAGTTAAGGTGCTTCCACTGCAGACCCAGTACATACTGTCTCCTGTGCTTCAAGAATCATACCAGGGACAAAGACCAGGACACTTAACACTGTCCCTCATCTGCATGACCAAAATGATAGCAGCCATTAACACCTCAAGGTTTGTCCTCCAAATATATCCTGAATGGCCATCAGAGAAATTCAAGGGAGTGTATTGTTTTCTTAAATTGACAGATGTTGTGGTTACACTTTTGTTATACAACATTATTATGACAACAGTCATAGCCTTGATGGGAGGTATGTCAAGGACTCAGTGACAAGGCCTGTGAAGTGTTAGAGTAGGCGTCTAAATAAAGCAATGGGTGTCACACAGGAGATGCAAGGCACGTGCACAGGCAAATGGCATAGTGAGCATGAACAACATTCATCAGAGGTGAGCATCATAAAGTGAAGGGTACATCAGAGGTGTGTGTGGTTCCACTCACCCGTGAGATGGTGAGGGGCAAACAGAAGTCCTTCCCTCCTTGCAGTCTGAAGCCCCAGGGGGAAGGACCAGCCAAGGAGACGCTGTAGCTGCTGCTGCTCATGATTCACCTAGAGACAAAACAATAGGTGTTTACACTCGACTGCGCATGAGCCAATATTAGTAGGGAAATAACCCAACATCAGAAAGACAGAACAAATAGGAAGATACTAACAGGAGTTTGTAAAGAGCATATACAGTCAATCAGGTACTATACAACTGGTGTGCACCCAACAACTAGCGTTTAGAAAAGATGAATATTTAGAGCACTATAAACTGTATATTCTGCTAAACCCAAACAGAAGCACTCCTGAGTCTAAAGAAGAGGTACATTATGCCACTGCTTGCTTCCATGTGGGCTACAATGATCAGCTATCTTCTGAAACACTGCAAAGACATCCAGTAACCTCTCACCAGACCTGTTGGTGCTACTGTCACAGTCTTATCAAGCACAGCAGTCTATTAATAACCCTGTTCTGAAACTGCAAGCTCTCTGCTTACAGCTTTAGAGTAGGTCCCAGGTCCTATGCCATTTACCATGGGGGTAAAAGTGATCATTACATTATATCTTCTCAGGAGCTAGTGGACGAATACGCTGGACTCTACAGTGAGGTTTGCATTGCAGGATTTAATATGCAGTAGGCAAGAACTATGTCATGAGAGACAATTACAGTCCTTTAATACACACCTCAGAATGAATTCCCCTGTTATACCATGGCCCTTTGACAAAAATGTCAAATAAAAGCATTCACCAGTTTTGGACTGCTGTATCATCTCAGTGCCCCTTCACTGAACCCACTGCTTGTGAAAAATAAGTTCTGACAAACAGAATTCTTGTGAGAAAGAGATAACATTGAGCTACTGTATGCACACCAGCCTACTGTAGATAAACAGTGTTTTATATATGCAAACCAAATCACAATATCCCTATAACAGTGATTTAACAAACAAATCAGATGCAAGTGAACCGTTATGAAAAAAGGCGAAGGAAGCCAAAGTCATCATCTCTCCTTTTTCCAAACGACTAGGCACATTTTTGGTATTTATTTCTGCTGTACGACATGGTCAAGTAAACATTCCTGTGCCTGTATCGTCCTTAAAACATATTCCAGGGGTTTTGTAATGGTGATTAAAACCTTGGTATAAAATGTCCAGTATGCATTTGCTTCTTGCTAAAACCCCTGTTAAACTCCAGCATCTAGCAGAGTGAACACGGACCTTTCCTCAAACTACTATGGTGCTACTGAGCCTGCACAGGGACAGAGTAAAGACAAGGCACACCCTGGGTAGCTGGCTACTTGTTAAAGCTCAGCTTCATTTCACTGGAGGGCAGGTTTGCCTTGTATTGCCTGGATTTTGACAGCTCAGTGGCTCAGCACCATCACCTACATTATCTCCTGGGTAGATACAAATACCCTGATTACGCAGGTGTGCAAGCAAATTAAATGGACAGTTCCAAAAGTGAGACACAGACTATGTGGTGTAGGAAAATATTTCACTTGCTAAACCCTGCCTGTCACGCATTCCTTTTCCCCTGAAAAATTAAAAGCTTCGAGCACTGGAAATGAGACTGAGGCTAGATGCTGCAGTTCATCTCTCTGTGTGCCTGTTGCCACTGTGCACATGTTCAGAACAAACACAGATCGCGATACATTATCACAATCTATTTTAAAGAGCAACTGAGAACCAGAGAAATCTATGACTTATAGCTCAGATGTGATGAATTAAACGTCTGGTGTTTCTGCTGAAGAAACTGAAAAAAAATGTTTTAAAAAACTGGAGGTAAGCAAAGGAAACTCAGAGGTTACCTTTGGTGCTGGAATTGGAGTTTTAAACTGATGCTGATCCAGCTCTGGTGATTTCGAAAAGAGGAATGAGAAGAAATAGAGAAGTAATCACACGTTTGTGTGCAGAGAAAACAATTTTCTCTTGAGCATTTCAAGATAATGCCCTGTCATCACAGAGGCGGCGTCGTCACACATTCCCTCAGGGACACAGCACCAACTGGTTTTGTGTGTCACATGGTCAGCTATACAAGACCCACATAAAATGTGTCTACACACTGTGTCATCATCATATCTCAAAGGGAACAGGTTCTTTATAGAAGAGCCACAAAATGGATTAAAAAAAAATTTGAATTGTGTGAGGGAGAGGTAGGAGGTGACCAACCTGGAGAACACACATCGCTCTGATAAGACAGCTGCTTCTCTCGCCAAGGTAACTGTCTATATATTGTCACCAGGCAATTAAATTAACTTTAATTAAACTCATTTAAACTTTGTAAAACACTGTTATTCCCAGCGACTAGCACACATACAGTATTTGAAATGAAGCTTAACAGAAGCCCAATGCAGATGAACTGACCAACAATAATTTCAAAACCAATTCATCAAAGCTGATGTCTTATCTTCAGAATAAGGAACTCAGCCATAACTTTGATGCTGTTGCAAGTGTTGTTTACCATTTCATCTGAGTCTCTGTAGCTTGGAACTGCCAAAGCAAAACACTTAAAGGATAATGTCAGTCATTTTCTATTTTAACCACTCCCCATACAGAAACTAAAACCAACAATGAACTGCCTCTACTCACTGTTAACGTCTGTCACTCTGTCAGTCCTGGAATGCTTTATCCTCTGAGGCATAGTTCTCCATTGTTGTTCAAAAACAATTAAAGACATCAGTGATACAACTATGTGAGTTGTTCACATCAGATTCCTTTAGTATAAGATTTCATAGCCAAGCGAGACATCTCAGTAAAGGTATAGTACATAGCATTTTTAGCAAAAAAGACATTTGGTGAAATTTGGATCACATTCAAGTCACGCTGAACCAATATATCAGTGGCATATCTTTTCCTAATATGGAGAGAACAAACAGTTGGCTCGTCTCATGTCTCCGCCTGTTTTGCAGACGCTAATGATACCATGCATAGACAAGAAGAGACACACCTTTTAGTTAGTTCCCAAAACATTTTTTTTTATCAGCAGCACCCTCATCAAGCCTCCTCTACTTGTTATTTTCTACTTGAGCCATATCTTCCAAGTTATTGCTATAACTGCACTTTATTGTGTTCAATATTTCAGCTCTTTGACACCAAAAACACAAATCTTTTCATCACAGCATAAATAGGACTTGCTGATAAAGTTACCGGCTACTCTCTCAGATGCTGTTGTGGTACAACTAGGTTATTTTAACTTGCTTGATCTAATTAGTAGCTAGACTATCAAAATAGTCGGACCGTGAATGGAAATTGTATTAAATCTTTGAAAATAAGACATGCCAACTGCAAACATACAGTGAATTTGGGGGATATCTGGGTTCAAATTTGGGTTAACCTCCCGCTCATGGTTGAAAGAAACAAAAATATTCTTTTAAATATTCATCTTTCTTAACTGCAAAACAAAAACACAGTTCTATAGAGTTAAATCTAAGTGCCATTCACCAGTGTGCTTGATACTGTGACCTGTGTCAAACTACAGCTGCTATATCAAGTGATGTTTCTACCATCATTCCTATAGATACTGTAAAGAAAATGGTTTCAGATCACTGAACACACTGTAGCGTGTGTGATTTGCCTCTGCAAAGTTTCAGGGGTCATGCTCATTTTACAGCACTTCAGGAGGAAGCGTTTCCTGGTGACATTGTTAAAAGGTCCTCTGTCCTCTGCAGTGACTGTCATAACTAGTATGTTATCCCTGAAAACAAAGTGAACAGACATCACATTTAACTTGCATTACTGGTAAATACTATGAATTATATTTCTTATAAATAACTTCCAATTTACCTTTTGTGTTAGAGCATGCCATCTTAAAACCTAAAAACGCTGTTTGACATTAAAACGAATCCTGATGTCCTCAGTTTACACAGCGTCAGTAGGACAACTTGTTCCAACATGACTTCATGGGACACGTTTTGTGCACAGGCTGATTACTGGTTTGGTCTCAACCTAATCCCTGTGCGCTTGTCACACACTGCATGACAAACCCTTACAGTGTGCAATATTCCTACATTTCATAGGCTTATACTGTCTTATTACAAGTCTAGAAAGTTAATTACAACCTTAACATCTAGAGGTAATGACCTGTTCTAACATTTTAACCGGAGTTGTAGTCGTTGTCTTCCTCCTTCATGTGCGCACCTTGGACAACTTGCAATCGATTCCCTACAGTCCAGCACCACTATTTTCTCTTTGGTTGCCTAAGTGGGTGTAACATTAAATACGTCTGATATTATTATTGCATTTCTCTTATAGATTTGTCACTGCTGAAAAAAGCCATGTCAGTAAAACGGATGTGTACTCTGTCAGGCGCAGCAGGCCATACCAACTCGTTTATTCTTGGACAAGGTACAGACAGCAAACTACAAAGTTTAAAGACCTCCATATGTTCTAACTGCAGCTCTTTAACAGGCATGTTTGCAGTAAAACACTGAGGGTAACACGACTGGCACCTTTCGCCTTGCAGCACTCACCTTGCGTTGTGAAGCCGGGGCCGGTGTTCCGATGGAGAAGCGTGACTGCTGTCGGTCGGTCCTCAGTTTTCAAGTCAACTGGGCTGAACGGAACTGAAACTTCCGCATATAAGCCAAACCCATTGTAGGAGGGCTCACGGTGGTGTGTGTGGGTTAGTGCCTGGAGGAAGCGCGGCAGCGCGCACGGGCTTGCAACACAGCAAGAAGCTTCCTGAGTAGTTCACTTGGCCCTCCTGAGGTAAGAATTAAAAAGCTTGTCACAATAAGCAAAATTCCCAAACCACCAGAAAGTTGTTTTGGTGCCATTATATAACGAGCCCCCCCCCCCGTCATGCTTTTGCTGAGATGTTTAGGCAACGTTTACTTGGTTACAGTCGAGAAGCGAAATGTTTTTCTAGTCGTTTTAAAACACTGAAAAAACATGCGGGGTGTTCGACAAGATTATCATTAAATCCACAGGCTGTGCAGCTGAAACGAAACTAATGGCATGGGCTGAGCTGTATACATATATATAACTATGTACAGTATATGTTCACAGTGTTTATGGCTAATTTAAAAGTTAACCAAGTTCTAAACATCCCAAGTATTGATAGCCCAAACCCAGTGGCATCTTTATTCTAGGTAGTTTGTCACTCATATAACACCTGAACCTACCTCAATAACCATGTGCTCTTAATGTGGCCCTTGATATACACCCTGAAATGGATCATGTTTTTATTAAAAGCTTCATAAACACAGATGTTAAGGCAGAAGTGTTGCCTGTGAGTGTATATTTACGTGATGTTACAAAAGAAGTATTAAACCCCTGACAGGGCATCAGCTTGCCCTGTTGTGTCCATGGACTGTGATGTCAGTCTTTCTACTAAATGCCTTTAGACAGTCAGCCTTTTGAACCACCAGCATACACCAAGGTCATACATCAATAAAGGTGATTATCAACATATTTATGTGCAACAAAAACAAAGTAAGCGATACAAAATACACATATAAATACAAAATCCGTCAGTTCTTTTTAAAAAGATTTTTGTACTTTAACATGAACATAGCACATCTTATGTACATACAGTATGAGACACATAAATGATTTTTGACCCTTTGTATGCGTGTGTTCTTACCCCCTGTAAAGCCGATTTTAATCTTGTTGCCGCTACATTATTATTTACTATTTTATTATTCACTAATTTGTTTAATGTTCATGATCAGTTACTGTGATGTTGCACTTAGTGTGAAGCAGGTTTCGGTAGATTTCAGTGGCATAGTTTTGATGTGCCCTCTAGCGGTCAGCAAAGAAAGTACATGCATCAGAGTTTATGCAGATGCTGTGGATTTTAAATGCACCTGGCCTGGGAGGTTACTGGCTATGCAGACCTCTGTCTTGTTTCTTGTCAACCTATGCATAGCATCTACTACTTTGGTCCCCAGTTATATAATCATGTATGACTCAAAATGATTTGAAAATATTTTTATTTAATAAGCAATGGATATTGGGGCCCTTTTCTCTAGCACCACCATCAAACCATCAAAATACTAATGGGAAGACTGAAATTATTGAGCAAATTTATAGTATGCTTACAGAATGCAAGTGTTTCCTATGTTTTACGTGTGGCCTGCTGCAAAGTAAAATAGTATTCATGTTAAATACCACATACTTTGTAGACAAAGGCTTTTAATTCAGAAAAGTAAGTATAGTGTAATGCACTGTAATTAAGTTCCAGGGGTGACTGTGGCTCAGTGGGTAGAGCAGTCGTCTCCCACCCAGAGGGTTGAAAGTTCGAATCATAGTGCCTGCAGTCCACATGTCGAAGCGTCCTTGGGCAAGACACTGAACCCCCAAGTTGCCCCAATGGTTAGAGCCATTGGTGTGAGTGAGTTGGGGCCACAGATGGCTGCCATCGGTTCTGTACCAGAAACAGATTCCTTGTGTGTAACATACTTGGCCAATAAAGGTTATTATTATTATTATTATTATTATAAATGGAACAGGAATGTGAAAGCTGTCTTTTATTAAACATTTTAATCACAGTGCTGTTTCACATCATTTTAGCAGACAAGGTCAAGCTTATTTACTGTGCTCCTACTAATTCCTATGTATTATGAATATTACAGTAGGCTACTTTACAACATTGTTCTATAGAGAGAACATTACAGGCTACTGCTCTCTGATGTGGATTACAGCCTTTTATTTTTTCACTGTGATATTTTGTTGAATAAACACATCTGTGTTACATGCTAACTAGCTAAACCTATTCTACATATTATTATTAACTGTTTGAAGCCACTGAAGCAAGGTGCTATTAGATGTTAACATATGGTTATAAATTGATTGGATAGTTGTAACAGCCCAGAAGCTGTAAACTGAGCAGCATTTCTCTTTGCCTGTTCTGTGTGTGTTGTTCTTCCTCACAGTAGAAGTGGTCTATAAGGCCTTTCTGTGCACTGATTCTAATGATGGCATGGGAGTGCACACATGCAGGATTGTCCAGAGAGTCTGTCTGGATGAGCTCAGCTTCCACCTTCTGTACTTGTTTCTTTTTGCTCATCTTCCAGTTTCTTCTCTTTATCCCAGCTTTCTGGGCTCTTCCCACAGACCAAGGGTATTACGATCTTGACAGCATTAGATTGTGGTCACATCTGTCCTGTGAGCCTCGGTCTGGGATGGGAGTCTAGAACAGAATTAAATTAAATGCAAACGTAATCTGTACAGTAGGTCTCTGTGTGAATACATGATTGTGCTGACATGTTAAGCCTTTCAAAGCCTTTGACTTGGCGCTTATTCTTATGTACGATTAACAAGTATATGATGAGCACCTGCCTTACCTGTTCCTGGCTTTGGCCTCCCCTGTCCTTGCTCTGCTTAGCCAGTGACTTGTACTCGTTGGCCCTCAGAGCCTCAGGGGAATAGCTGGACCTCAGACAATGGCTGTGGTCAATAGGGCCCAGCTCCACATCATTCCACACCTGCCAAAAGTACATACTAATACATCTATAGTATTTCTGAATACTGTACAGAATTTTCTGAAACTATCATAACTTCTATTTGTATTATATATTATTTTGCATAATTGGTATTACTAGATAATAACAATATAACATCTTCTGATTCAGAAACAATTGAGACTGTTGTTTGTCTTAGTAGTTATCGATTGTTTTGAAGGTTTAGACACATCTGGACACAGATGTGAATACAGCAGAAAATATTCATTCAAGCTACAGTAAGGAGAGTAATACAGTAAAATCTATTTCACATTAATAGTTCTTGTGTTTGAATTATAAAACTAAATCCTCAATAAGGACTTTATTATTTTTGGCTTGGGTGAGAAATGTGGCACCAAAGTTCATGTTTATATAGTTACTATGCAAAGAGAGTCATTTCAAATCTACATTGCATAATATGGAGATTTCTAATGACTTTTACTGGCCAAAAAATAACTCTGCAACTAGACCAAAAACAGGTTCAAAACAAACACAAAAACAGCTCAGTTTAAATGGACACAACACATTATGTGAATTTGATTTCTGATTTCTGTAAATACACCACTGATGGTGCTGCTTCAGCTGTGTTTGCCTCTACTCTTAAAACACCTAGTACAGAAGCCAAACTCACCGTGTCTGTTGTAGACATGGAGGAAACTCTGTGAAACTTGGTTTTGGAGATTGATGACTGTCTGCTCAGCGTCGAGATGGTGAAGAAGGACTCGCTGTGTGACACCATCATGCACTCCCTCCTGGAAGCCTGGGCTATGAAGCGGAGGCAGGGAACATTTTCTGCCAGAGTGTCCCTGTTGAAAAATGATGATGTCTAAATAAAATATCTGTGTCTTCTTTGTACTATTAGTTATTACTGATTAGTTGAGTGACTGCACTCACCTGTATTTGGAGTGAATGATGGCATAGATAAAAGGGTTGTAGATGGCCGATGCCTTGGCTATTACAGCAGGAACAGCTTTGGAATAGGGGTTGAGGATGCTTGCATATCTGAAAGAGGTAAAGCATTTGTAAAGAATAGAGCTGTATATATGATGATATCAGTACTGTACCCTGCTGCATAGCATTGCTTTATTCCAGGATATTCCAGAGTATGGCTGATGGCTGAAATGAAATACACAGTGCAAGCAAGCAATCCTGTGTGTTTTATGTAGCTTCTACTATCATGTCTGTACAAATTTGGTCATATAGAGCCCTTGACAAACTGTATATTTACCCAGCCCAGGCGATGAGGGTGACACAAGCATAGGGTGACCAGGAAAGAACAAACACTATAATGATCACAGCGGCGATCTTGGCCAGTTTCCATTCAGTTTTGATGGATTGTTGCTGGATCAGGGTTGACTTTCTCACCTGAGACCCCAGTTTCTCCAAATCTCTGTTAGGAATAAAGGCACTGTGTAATCAGTTTCTAAACCTGTTCAACTGATGAAAATCAACCGATTAGTAGCATTTGCAGACTTTTAAAAAGACATTTACCATGGAATGGACACTAGACCATGGACCTACATGTGCACAGTGAGACAGATATGGAAGACAAGATGAAATGGAACAAGGCAAAGCAGACAATGTAGCAAACAGGACAAGCAGGCAACAAACACTCAGAAACAAGTACATTTTTTATTACTTTTTTTTTTTTGCTCCTTGCTACTTTGAGCAGACTTAAGGTGATTGGAATATTCTTAATAATGGAAACCACAATACATTAGCACCTGACCATGACTGATGATAATATAATAAAGTGTGATGTATCCTCATCTGACAGAGTAGGCAAATGGTGACTAGCATAGTGAGGCTGCTTAGAGGCAATGCCGAATGTATCTGTGGCTCCACATATTTTGAAGCACATCCTTCAAAGCTGTAGATTTATGTTTGGCTGCATTTAAAGAACCTTTTAATATAGGCTATAGCTTATATAATAGGATAGCTTCTATAACCTTTTATGATATATTCAGTACTGAGGGATAACTATGGAGAGTCCTATGCATGAGGATTAAACTAGCAAGTGTGTAGCATCTACAGAGACAGTACAGACTACAGGTGGACAAGCAAGAAACAGCAAGAGCTGAAATATAGACAGAATATACGTGCATATGGGGAGATGAGAGAGATGCAGAAGCTACATCATAATATTTAACCTGCTTTTACATTTTACAAATTGTATTGGAAGAAATTCAAGCCTTTTCAGAAACACATTACATTGCCAATGTGAAGACGTGCTTCAAATTCTTTGTTGCTGTTTTATGCAGATAATAAGTAGGCTTTATATAAATGGCAGCATTTCAATTGTTTTCAGTGTATATTCTGCATATTCATATACAGTACATACATTTACCTGCTGGCATGGCGGGTTGCCAAGAACATGCACACATAGCAGTAGGATATAATACCCAGAGGGATGAAGAATACAAAGCAGCATAACATCAATGTATAGCTTTTATTGGCTGGAGTAGACGTCACATAGTCCCACGTGCATGATGTCATCAGGCCCTCTGGTATATATGAACCTTGGACAAAAAAGATGAGTGAGAGGGAGTTTTATATGGTTTAAAAAGAGGATAGTTGCTTAACAGTGTGGTAGAAACATTTACTTACTCCACCCTATTAGTGGTGCAAGACTCCAGGCTAATGAGTATAGCCAGACCAGGGCAATAATGAGGCAAGTGCGTTTCTTCGAGGTCCACAGTATGGCCTGCAGAGGCTTGGTGATGACAACATAGCGGTCTATAGATATGGCCAGAAGGGTGATCATGGAGGTGATTCCAAATAAAGCTCCACAGAAGGCGTACATTTTACATCCTAAAAAAAATAAAGGAAACGTTTTGTTAAGTTCCTTCTTCTGATTGTAAGAATACAAATTACACAAGATGAGTAATATGATTGGTCAGGACTCCAGATCACCTGTGATTTTATTTATGAGACACCACAAAATTTCACAAGATATTGTGAGATGTTTTTGCATTAGATTTTAGTGACATAAATATGCAGCTAAACAAAGTATTTCAACCATGGCTCTACACATAAACAACACAGCCATATGCAGTGTTTGTACAATTACAAAAATACCTGTTTCACCAAAAACCCACCCCTTGTAGAGGGAGTTAACAAAGAAGATGGGTGACTGTGTGATTGCCATGAGAAAGTCGCTGACTGCCAGGTTCATGATGAAAAGGTTGGGAGGAGTCCGTAAGTTCTTGTTACTGAAACACGATTGAAAAATCACAAATCAAAAGTGCTCCGAGTCCCACAAAGCAATATCTTGTTGTTGACACCATTTGCATTATATTACAAAATAAGTTTTGAGAATTGATTGATATAAGTAAGAGTGCAAACAAAGTCGATCTCCATCGTCTGACCTCAGTTTATAGCAGGACATATATTAATTGAGTGGGTTTTCCTGAGCTGCAGTACTGTTAAGGTTGCTTACCATCTATGTGGCCTAAGTGGTAGCACAGTGTTGACTGTATGTAAATAAGGGAGTAGCTGACTGAATTATTGAACACGTATCGATTTATCCAGCACAATTAGAAAACCACTAAACTCCTTCCTGGTATTGAATGCCTGCAGGCTGCTGTGAAGACCTTTCTGGCTGTACTTGTGACTGTACTTCATAAAACAAGTACATGAACATTAATTGTTTCCCCATTCAGCACATTAAATCTTTGCAACAACTAAACCTTGGAAATTACTTAAAATAGCAACTTTGATATTGTTTCACTCATCTCTAAATTTAGGAAATGGTTTACTTATGTCATTATTGCCAACAGTCACTATGACAACTGGGTTAGGTTAACTAGATTAATACAAACATTTGGACATACATAATCCAACATGCTATTCGAAAATCAGCCACGAAATAAACTGTTGTTGTTTGATTAACAAAACAGACCTCAGACAAACTGTTTCTATAAGCTTGTGCCACCACAGTACAACTGTGTCTTCTTCATGTCTTCCCAGAATTGGTTCACAGGAGACGTTCACATGCAGAAAGGTGATGGTACATTTAGGCTTGTTACAATGTCAAAGCATTAATGCTTCATTTAATAATTAACATCCATTAGAGTCTTTTAATTTTAACTATTTTGTTCAACTTAGATATGTAACTACCCCCTTTGCCTTAAAAAATATGACTTAGCCGATCTCAAACTTAAGTTACCAGTATAAATGAAGTTGAAATCATTTTATGAGTTTTGAAATTGTAAAACTGAGGATGCAGGGTGAAATTAGTGCCATTTTTTAAAAAGCAGAATTACTAAGCATTGTTTTCAGGTTACAATTTGGTTTGTAGACAAATAGACAGGACTACTTTACAGCTCATAATGCAGCTCTAAAATTTGTGATTTCAGACATGGTTCCATAAGCAGACACTCACCAGAAAAAAGCATACATGACCAAGGCATTCCCAGTAACACCCAGTATTCCAATCACAAAGACAAAAAAGGCAACAATGTAATGAGCGTGATCCTGGACATCCACCGTCCGAAAGTATCCACGTTCCAGGTCCATTTCTGTGACAGCAAACACACACAGTCATAGGTGTTAGCATCTTTATTAAAGAGGTACTTATGAAAATAGCTGTACGGACTTTGCTGTTCCATGTTGCCATTGTTCAGCTGTGGCAGATTATAAGAGAATTTCTGTGTTTTGTTAATGTGATGGAATCAAGAGTGCACAATGAGTCACACAATATTAAAAACATTTAACCTACAGTATATAAATCCACCTCCCGTCTGCCTCTGATCGGCATTATCACACATTCACAGGACAGATGTGACCACACTCACTGCCATATCAATTTCAGAAGGTGCTGTAAATATTCTCTTATGGACCACATTAATCTTTTTTGTTACAAATCGGGTCCACTGTTGACCCAGAGTACCCTGATCCAGATTTAATCCAAGTGATGATTTGATTTGATTTGATTTATTCTTTCAAACATGCAGAACAAATGACATCAACACACACACATAATTACACAAGCCAACCACTGCTAATCAAGAATCAGTTTGCTTATACCAGCACATGTTTGAATGGAGTAGGAAGAAGTCAGACTTATCCAGTCCTACCCCAGAACATCATCTTATACAAAAAATTTCATGCAAGCAGTATCTCTACATAGTTGATTCTCTTCTTCACCAACAAGT